TGGGTGCAGGCGGGGCCCCGCGGCGCTGCGGGCCCCGCGGGCGCGGCCGGGCAGTACCCCCCGGGCGCTGGTGCTGAGGGCGCTGGGCAGCCGCACGGCGGAACGCGGCGAGGCCGGCGCTGCGGTGCCCCGAGTGCGGCACTGCTGCACCAACCCGGCGCTCTGCCGAGCCCCGCGGGCGGCAGAGTGCCCTACCGAGAGCGCAGGGGTGGTAATAATCACCGAAGATTTTGCTTCTCCCTGTAGGCTTGTGTTGGTCCGAGTGCTGTGTCAGAGGACTGTGCGGGAAAGCAGACCGCAAAAAGCAGTTCTTTACCTTGTTGGGATGTAGCCTAAAGGTATAAACTGGATGCCTTGAAAACAAAATTTTGCAGGAGAGCACCTCAGAGTGCTTCTGTGGTTACGGTGTGTATCACAGTTGCATTATCACCCCGTTTGTATATTTATAGCATGTACTCAGCAGGTAATTAAATGTGTCTTATGATGCACGTGCGTCTGCTTTGTCAACTGCTGTGAGCTGTAGGAGTTCTTCCCCCATGAGTACTGGGAACAAAGTAGGTGGTGAGAAATATCTTTGGTCCACTGTCATTTTAGGTTGCAAAGTTCCGTAGAGGCTGCAAAAGGGTGATCTGAGTTCTCGACAGGATTACCCTTGACTGGTTTGTAAAGTATCTCTGTTGGCTGAGTTTCTAGAATGGCCTCTCTGTGTCAACTTATTCTTTAGTGACCCACGAGATAGAAGTAGACTAATGTGCTTTAGCATGGGCTTTAGCATGTCCGATTAAGAACCACCGCATAAAATCTTTGTTTTGTTTTCTTGAGCTAAGTGTTTTCCAGAGAGGGATAATGTTTTGAGCAAGATTCACAGAGGTTGGTAACAGCCGAAGCAGACATGGTTTTGGAAAGGTTCTGTTTGGTGACCTCTCCCACCCACCCTCGGACACGCACATATCTGCTTCCAAAACCCACAGTAGATACGTGTGTGTATATATGTATTAGAAACTTAACTGGAACTTCATGATCTATTCTTGCTAATACTTTTATTTGTCCTTAGTATATGATAAAAAAACACAGTAGACCTGATCAAGTTGACATGACCTGGTCATGCTTGCTAATTGAGTGATGGTTTGATGAGGAAACTAGCTTTTTGATCTGAAGTTTGTTTAGGTAAATGGCTAGAATGCTTGTTGGCATTACAGTGTCCTAGATTAAGCTGAAGTAAATTAGTTCTGACTTTCAGCATCCCTAAATTTCTCCAAGGTCAGTGAGATGTTAAGTTAAAGGTTTGTACTTCTGAACTCCATTCTAAGTGGATAAAAACATTTCATACATTGTGAGGATTAAGGTTACTCTGTGTGTTAGCCACCAAAATGTGTTTTCTTTTCATAAAAACTTCTGTATTGATGTAGTATTACAGTTAAATTTAGGAACTGGCGTTATTAGGAAATATTCTAAAGTAAAAATCAGGACAAAATCAGACCTCTCAGTCCCCAAGCTGCTTTGGAAGTGATGATTGATATAAAAGGCCTTTAATGTCCTCTTTGGGATCAAGTGACTGAAATAACATGCATCAGTTTTCTGTATAAACCATTGTTTCAAGAATAAAAAAGACCAAGTGTTAAATGGCTAACATGGTGAAGGACTGAATACTTCTGAAAAAGGGGCAGAAAACAGCCAGAGGGAAGACAGTAGAGGTATGTCTGCATAGTGACCAAATACAAAGTTATGAATTAATTCGTGGAATGCCTGCCAATATACAAATTGCACATCTATTTTAGATATGTTTACTAATTGGGCTATTACATGTCTAGAGTGGCTAGCAAGAGAGTTTAATTTTTTTTTCTCAGCTTTGACTAACCTTATGAGTATTTTTAATCTGTTAAATGCTAGTCAGAGCAGAGGTGGTGCAAAGTATTACATGCACAATTTTTCATAGGTTTTAACAGTGTCCCTTTACTATAGTTGAAAAGCTGGTGTGCGCATGCAGACTGAGAGTACATCTATTACATGTTTTGTCTTTATTTTTTTTTGCTGTTGTGTGAGGTAGCATTCCTTGTATTTAGGCATATCTTGCTTCATCTTTTAGAGATTAACAAGAAGTCATTGCAAATACCTCATTTAATTTTAGGTGACCTGTACCATTTTCTACTCTGATGCTTAACCAAAAGTGTAGCAAGGTACTTAGGTGAATAAAAAAGGATGTTACAGTGGAGAGCAGCATGTGTGTTGAAAGATTGGGACTGGTTTATGAGCATTAAAAAAAAGTGCTGCTGTCATCTCCAGGAATGATGTGAGCGTGAGAGAAAATAGCTTTCTTTGCATGACCTGGTGGCTTGTGTTTGCCCTGGTTGAATGTATTAGTGGTAATGGAGAAGAGACTTGGATTTCTCAATGTTTAATGGCAACCAAAGGATGGAAGCTGGACACAGACAAATCAGAAGCAGGACATGCTTGGAACTGGTAGGTGACTACCAGTGTGTGCCAAGTTCTCTTTTTTAACGTGAGTTTGAAGTGGTGTATTTTTGTGGAGGTAGACTTCACTCAGATATGAGTAGTTGGGCTCTAAGAAGAACAAATGAGTGATAATCTTAGTGTCCTTTGATATGCACACTAGATAACTGGAATCCAGCCTACTGCATGGATATGTCCCATGGCTTGAGGCATGACAGAGCTGCTTCCCTGTGAGCTGCTTCCCTCTGCATCTTCTATTGTCGCTTCACGGAAGAAGGAAAAAGTCTTTGACTTGACCAAATGGGCACTTGTCTGAGTAGGAGCTGCAAGCCAGGGGATTCCTGTCCCTGAAGTCTGAATGACTTCAAAATGGTTTTGGTCTCTACGAACTTGGTATTTACTAACAGCGTCTCTCATTTGAACCCACATACTGCTGAGGAGCCCCAAATAGTAATACAAGACTTCTGATTCAGAAATTGTATTTGCTGCAAATAGAGCTTAGTTTTACTGCCATAATTTATGATATACTTTCATCCTTCTGGAAGAGAATAGCCTCTATTTTTAGTTTTGTTTGACTTATCAGGTAAGCCCTGGACTCTATACAAATAACTTTCATAGCTTTTGTGAGGTTTACTAGCATTAGCCTTTCACCCTAAAACCAAAGGGATGGGTGGAAGTTAAGGATGTACATACAAGTCTGGTGTGGGGCAGATGTCCTAGAATAGGAGCTATTTGACTTGTAGATGGGAACTGCCATCTTAAGGTAACTTGTTTTTCAGACCATTTTACTGTCTTAGACTTAGGTCCCGAATACATAAGCAAAGATATTAAGCAAATTCTTCTTAAAAACCTTATTTATAAATATTAAAAATTAAAAATAAGTGATTTGTGTTTGCCTACAGATATTAAATGGACTACTTTGTTAATAGTTTTGTCACTTATTTGCCTCTTGCTATATAAAATGTGACTTGGTTCTTTTGGTCTTCTATTTCCTAGGGACTGCTTATAAAATTGATTATTTTTGAGTCACTTCCAATTTTAGCTGTCTCTACCTCAAAAATATCCATGTAGTATGTACTGCGGAGAAATTATATAATTAGAAAAATGAGTACACTTGACATACATATATTCAACTGAAAAAAAAAAAAAAGGCAGTTGCTACACAGAATGCTATCACACTGATGTAATGTGTTCTGTGAGGTGGAAATACAGTGTTTGTGCACAACCTAGGTGTAATTAATACTGTTAACATGTCTGAATCTTATATGTGGAAGATTGACTTTTGGGTTTGAGTTTGTGTGACCTAGGATACCACAAACAGCCACTGAAGAACGAGTTAATTGTCATGGATAAATTAATAAGCTTGAGATAAATTTTCCAGAGTGCTTGGAGACATAGAGCTGCTTCACAGAAAGCCTGGATCCATCTGTGCAGATGTGGACAAGTGTATTTGATACTGTAAACTAATACTTTATTTCCTTCAGATGGCCATAGGGCTACTTTTTCTTACTTCTGTTGGGTTACCAGTGAGGACCAATCATTGATGGAGGCGAGAGATGATCCACAGAAAATCTGTTTGGTACAAACAGAGGAGGAGTTGGAGTTTACTTTAGATGCCTGCTTTGTGGTCTGTGTTGTGTAATACAGAAGAAATACTCTTGGCTATTTAGGTTTAATATATGCAGGCAGGAAGCCTGTGGTCATTTCTTTCCTAAGTATGTGCATTTGGGGCAGTGGGGTAGCTCATGGCATATGTGAATTGCATGTGTGATGACTCTGCTATGTTTGTGATCAGATGAATAGCTTTAAGGATTTTTGGCATGTCTAAATATTAATAATAGTCATTTTCTTATAGATTCATGTACATACCATCCAGGTGTACCAGTCTTTCATGATGCTCTGAAAGTAAGTATGAAAATAACTTTTTCAGACTTACCTTTCTTTCTGTTTGTTTACAGCAGTCATCTTGTGATAGTTTTTCTTTCTTTCCTTTGAAATCTGTCCATTGCATAGAAAATAATGTCCAGTCTATCATGTTTCAGCAACACTGTGAAACTAGAAAACAGTGCTTATTCAAAACTGCAAAAGAAATGAAAACCTGTATTCATATCGTGTGAATGCTGCACATGTCACTGTGAGTGGTATCCTGTTGATTGACTTTAGGTGTCTCAACAGTTTAATTAGGTTCTCTAATAGATCTTTGGTAGCATTGAGAGGTGTCATACTCTTCAGTTGTTCACTTGCATGGCATTTAAACCATCCAATTGTAGGTTTCTGTGGCTAGAACGCTAATATCTAAGTTACATTTGGCTACTATTAGAAAAAAAAAGTGTGTTTTAATCTGACAAATGTAAATGTCTGTTAATTTAGGAATGCCCCATGTCCTAGACACTACTTCCCAGGATCCTTGGACTGTATCTTCTTTACTGAAATAAATATAGCTGGAATTGATCTCATGTGGTTAGGATGGCAGACACAGCGTGGCCCATATTCATAATATTGAACGCTTTTCTACTTCAGGATCAAGTGGCTATGTCTAAACCACCTATTGTAACTACTGAGAAAGAACAGTCTGGCTCAGGCTGAAACAGTACCAGACATCCTATTAGCAACTTAACTGTATACTAACAGAAAACGGCAGTGCATGGCACTGAGCTGTGGGGCAAACATCTTTTTCTGGTGTTTAGTAACTGCTTCTCCTGGCAGTGCAACACATCCCTTCCCAATGCTGCATAATGTCTTTAAGTGCATGGAGATTGGTAGTTACATGCTGGGAAACATGTGGTCAGTGAGCTAGTGCTTGTGGTGCAAAGTGTGGCTCCAGAAGTGGCCCGTGTGTCACCCGTAAGAACATGATGGACACTGTTGGGTCACCTCTGGGTGTACTTGCAATATAGCAAATCACTTGCTATAAACTGGAGTTGTACTCATTATATATACATAAACCTTCTGCCTAATTAAAAAGATAAAATTCTAAATGTACTTCAGAAGATTGTGCTTGTTCCCTCTTGGTTTTATATAAGCACTGTTTCTAAATCAAGCACTACTTTTCCTTCTCTGCCTAACCCTATTCTTTTTTTTTTTTATTTACCCTCATTAAAAAATTATAATCTTGTATGGGCAGCCTTCCTCCTGAGACGAATTGCAGATGATCTAAGTGGACAGGGACAAGTCTTCTATCTCCTTGGAAATACTGAATATGTAGTGGAAATAATAACATAAAAATAGTCAAAATAACAAATATTTTAAGAATGTTTTACAACTGCCTGCCTGAAACACAGTGAAACTCCTGATGTTGTGGAGGAAGGTTTCTTAAAATATTTGTTATTTTGACAGTTTTACAACTGCCTGCCTAAAACACAGCGTCTCACTGAAACTCCTGATGTTGTGGAGGAAGGTATTGGTTAGTCCAACTGTCACCTTTAATAAAATTGAGTTCTAAGATTTGTTATTTACAGTGGCAGGATACTGTTCTCTAAATGTTACTTTCTTTTGCTTATCTTCTATAGTACCACTTCAGTTTTCTGTCATACTAAGTTGGCATTTATCTTGTAATGGAATTACTGACTCTGAGTTTCTTATTGGACTTTCTGGTTAAGGTACCGTGAATAAACTGAAAGCTGGCAGTTGTTATACGTTTCTGCAGTTTTAAACATTTCTGCAGTTTTTAAAAATACAGAAAGTTGAAGGCAGTGTCCAAAGGAGAGAGTATTATACTCTTGAAATTCTGCCTCTTGTAAAGGAATATAATTAGTCTTTTGTAACCTTTGCTAAATAAGGTGCTCATGCTTGTTTTGTTCTTATTCCAAAATGGTTATAGGGTTGGTCATGTTGTAAGAGAAGAACAACAGACTTTTCTGACTTCTTGAGCATTGTGGTATGTATGCAGGATACTTTGAAATTACTCTAATTGTTAAATTGTAATAAATATTACACAGTATGTGATTATACATGTTTAAAATTTTCTTACTTCTGTTAAAACCATCTGAGTCTCAGATTGACTATTCGTTGCAATGTTGAAGTTAAGTCTCAGTTTTCAATCTTTAAAGTTTATAGTTAGTTCTATCAAAACCTCTTTAGACTATTGTTAACAATGAAGGAAGAAAAATGATTTTTTTTCTTAGCTTGATCTCAACAGAACCATTGCTTATATTTAAAAGACTTTGTTTCCCTTGCTCAGTTTTAGAAACTATACACTTAAAAAAATAAAATCAAGTGTTTGTGCAAGTGAAGATATTTTACGTCTTAGTTGTAGGATTTCCTTTGCAGCCCATTAAATAGGCTAGTGGGGAAGATATAAATCAAACCTTGTTGCTGTTTCTGGTCGTTCTTAATCGGACACACAAAATATGCTGTATAATTATATAAATCTATGCTTTCTGTAATAGGGCTGTACAAAGGGTCTCCATAACAGTGAGAAGCCTCCTGAGCCTGTTAAACCAGAAGTCAAAACTACCTCTGAGCGAAAGGAGCTATCTGAACTGAAGCCCAAATTTCAAGAACATATAATTCGGGCACCAAAACCGCTGGAAACAATTAAAAGACCAAGGTATAGTATAGCAAACAGTTTTGCCAAATCGGTTGTCAGTTAGTGAATTTAAACTCACCTGGTGGTTAAATTTTGTGCAGATGTGTCTGAGCACTGGTCAGGGCAGTGTTAATAGCGGGTGATGATGCTCAGCTAGGCTTTCTGTTGCGGGTACATTTAGAAATTCCCAAATGAACTTTAATCCAACTTGTGTTTGTCGTCAGTGATGATGTTATCTTGAGATTCAAGATAAGATGTCAGGATTTTGATTAGGACAAGTCAGTACAGGATCCCTCAGCATTGACCTTAACAGGAAGCAAAAGTTGCAGTGTAACGCATCATGGGTTAGAATATCAGTAAGAGTTGTGCTTTGTTTTAAACATTCTTAAAGGTAATTTTAGGATGATTATGTTGAGACTTCATAATTTCTCTCATTTATTTTTACTGTAGGAAATTTAAGATTCTCTCTTGAAAAGAGATTGTCTATGAAATTTCTAGTCTGTTTTTCTGTAAGCAGTAAGAATTAGCATTTAGGAATCTAGTATGTTTGTTATAAGGGAGAATGAAAAGGAAGAGCTCTGTAGCATAATTGAAAGTTACTGCTTTGTCATTTTTTGTAAATGTTTTTAATTAGTTTAACATGAATGTATTGTCTGTTTTTAGCCCAGATGAGCCAATGACAAATTTGCAGCTGAAAGTGTCTGCTTCCTTGAAGCAAGCTTTAGATAAACTGAAACTATCAACAGAAAATGAAGAGAGAAAAGGTAAAGTTATGCAGAAATCAAGTACGTTTATGAAATATCTTGTCAGGGAGATACATGTAAAATAAGCACTTTAAAAATATGAACATATTAGAAATACTATATTTTGTTGATGTTCTTAGTAATCTATGAAATATCTTCTGCTAGAAGGAATGATAATTCAAGATGAAACAAGAGCATAGTGTAGGGGTTTAATGTGAGTGGCAATATATCTGTCTATTCTGACATAGTATATATATCTATTCTGACAGTATATTTAAACTGTTTATTTTGTAAGGTTTTCCTGATAGAGTGGATATGGGAACATCTTTGTCTAAATGTAGGGTTGAAGGAATTTCCCAAGAATTGAAATATGCTAATCCATTATTACAGACACTGTGCGCTCCTGAGAACTGATTCGTTCTCCCTTGCATGTTTTTCCCTTTTCCCATAGTTCAGTTGGAATTGTGCTCCAGAGCTACTTTACTCCTTCTAAAACTTTTTCTGATATCAACCTAAATGTATTTGTGGTCATTTTGTGTGTTTTTTTTTCATTTATTTTTTCGCTTGAGTGTGAAAAATGTCAACTGTTTCTCTTATCATGAGTTACGTTTCTCCTACATTTTTAGTCATCCTTCTATGAATGTATTTTTTCCACTCTTACACCGGTGCAAAAGTCTAGAACCTAAAATCTTATACACAGACTGATGTGACACTTTTGCAGAATGTTTACGTAGCTTTTGTTTCTCTGTATCTTTTGATCAGACTTCTGTACAAGGCAGAAAATGGAAATCTCAGTATTTTTTTTCCATTATCCTTTAGTTCATTTAATTTAAAAAATAAGAACAAAATAGTAGATTGTATGCTTTAGTTGCTTTACTTTTGTATATGATTCTGTTTGCAGAAGAAGACAGTGATGAAATCAAGATTGGGACAGCATGCAAAAATGCAGGCTGTTCAAAAGTAAGTTATTCATTTCTACTCTTCACAGCTTAGCAGGTGTAGTTAAGCACACATTTTTTTCCCCTTCCTTTTTGTGCGCTATAAAATTATTCAAAATTAACATAAAATCTACCAGGCTGACCAAATATACATTTGATAACACACCTTGGTAACAATAAATGTGGGTTGCTTTGTATTATACGTGTAGGAAGTCTTAGGACTTTTTTTTTTTTTCCCTTGCTTCAGTGCCCATCCTCCAGTTGTAGTTAGTGACTTTGTCAAAGCAAGGATGTGGAAGTGGTTCAGTTTAAAATGTTAAATAAGTATTGCTGTGAGCTGGCCTCCTGGTAACACTTTGAATTGCTCCTGTTAATCTATACCTGCTTCAGAAATTTCTGTTGACCTTACCAGTTAATGCTTCCCACTTGAACAATCCACAAAGGAACTTTTTAACACTCGCGTCATGAGTATTTCCTTTTATGTTACTCTCATATTTGTTGTTGTTTTTTTTCCCCACTTATGGCCTTGTCTTACACAGAATAAGACAGTATCTTTGAAATATATGATTCACTTGAGATCTGACTTTTCTTTTTACTAAAATTCTGTTGTGAGAGGAGTTTACAGAAGTCTCTTGTTTGTGGTAGAAACAGCTGATATCATTGTATGGCAAAGATGTCTATCATTTGATTGATTTCCTTTTGGGAATCTGTGTGTTCTCTTTTAGTAATGCGACTTTTAATGTACTTCTAGTAAAGTACTTGTTTTCTGTGAATATTTAGTGTATTTTTTAGGCCCTCAGGGAGATCCATCATCTATTGAACCAATGCAAAATACAGTTTGTGAGAAAGGATTGCCAGGGGACTTTGTGTATGTGGAGTTTGGGAAAACTGGAACTTGCCATCAGATGAACAGCTCAAAAGCTTTATAGTACTTTGTTTAATATTTTTGTTGTGTTTTCTTTGTTTTAGTCATTTTACCGAATTAGTGATATGCTCAAAATGTTTTCTCTCTTTTACAGACATACGAAGGACCACAGAGCACAGAAGAAGTATGTATATACCATTCTGGTGTACCTATATTCCATGAAGGGTTAGTATTTTAATGTTAAATCTTTAAAAAAAAATAGTGCATTATCTGTAATTGCTTTCTTTGCAGATTTTGCATTGTATTTGTTGTATATTTCAGAACAGCAGTGCTAGGAGAGAAAATACCAAATTAACAATAATACTGCATAAAGGAAAGCTCTTAAGTAATCTTAAGCCATCATAGTAAACAGTGTCTTAAACCTGTGTCTTAGACCTTATCGCCCTCTACGTCTACCTGAAAGGAGGTTGTAGGGAGGCAGGTGTCGATCTCTTCTCCAGAGTCTTGTCCTATGGATAGGACAAGAGGAAATGACCTCAAGTTGTGCTGGGGGAGGTTCAGGTTGGCCATTGGGAAGAATTTCTACATGGAAAGAGTGGTGAAATATTGGAGCAGGCTGCCCAGGAAAGTGGTGGAGTCACCGTCCCTGGGAGTGTTCCAAAACCATGTAGATGAAGCACTTTGGGACATGGTTTAGCAGCCGTGGTGTTGAGGGGCTTACAGTTGGACTCTTACCTTGAAGGTCTTTTCCAAACATTATGATTCTAAATATTGTTTGTTAATCGCCTCCTTTCCAAACTCTAAAGGATGAAGTATTGGAGCTGTTGTAAAAGAAAAACATCCGACTTCAATACATTTTTAGCTCAAGAAGGTTGTTCAAGAGGAACACATGTGTGGACTAAAAAGGATGCGGTGAGTGGTATTGGTGTTGCGTTCTGTAGCTAGAGTTCTGAGTACTGAGAAGTAGTTGTGTCTTTGAATAATTATAATACAGCTGTTGTGGTTCATACTTTTGAAGTTATTACTTTTTTCTTTCTACCACCCAGTGGATGCTCTGGTCTTGGATAGAAAGTTAGTCTAACAAGAAAGATTTTGTTTTCATTATACCACAGTGTCCCTTTTTCTTATCATTGTCTCTAGCATGAACGTTGGTTTTTTTTCAATTTTAATATTTGTCAAGAGCCGGTAACTGGATATTGATTTAAAAAAAAATGTGGACTTTGGCACACTCATCTGAATGGAGGATATAGGACTGTATTAGCCGTGTTTATTGATTATTAAAGTTGACCTTTCCTGTTAATCTTGGGAAAGTTCTCATAAATGCAGTTTTAATGTTTTTCATATCTTTTTTCTTACTTAGGGAAAAGTAATGAAAACCTGTTTTTTGCCTTATTTACAAAGCAGAGTTGAAAATAGCATAAGATTTTTTTTAATAAACATTTTTTCATGACATTTTTGTTCTATTATGTATAGCACTTTTTTCCCTTCCGTATACACATCTGTACTTGCAATGCATTTATAAAAAATGCAATAAAACATATAAAAATCAAGCTTTTAAACCTTAAATTTGTGTCACTGTATGTATAAATAACTGTAGATTCATCATTTCATTATATTTGGATTAAAGTAGATTAGTATAATTCGTTATGGTATGCAGTATGGTATTCAGAGGTACTAATGTTAACCAAGTTTTAAAAGGACACTTCCATTGGTACAGCCTCAGGAAATATTTATGACAATTATAGATTATGATATATAGGATCTTTTATATTGTCAGAATCTATTACTATGAATTTTAAGCCCTGGTGTAAGAGGCAGTTTGATTATTTTGCCCAAGTAAGGTCCAAGGCCTGTTGTGATACATTTTACTTTAAACATATTTGAGTTACTAAATGTTTCATCAGTCTGACAAAATTCTCTGTTTTCCCTCTTGAAGTTAAATATCCACATTGTATTTGAAGGAGAAAAAGAATTTCATCGCAGCGTGAAATTGTGGGGAGTAAGTATAAGAATCACTTTTCAAAAAAAAAATGGCTTTCTCTCTTTCTAAACCCATTTTTGAATTGAAAAGTTGAATTGCACATCATTCAGTATTAAACTTAAATCTGAATTACTAGGTCTAACATGGTAGTTTACCTTGTTTTGAGCAGGAGGTTGGACAACATTGTGAAGTCCTCACTGACCTGACTAAGATCCTTTCCTAAATATGGTAGTGGTGTTGCAGAAAACGCTTTATCATTTACATGTATTCTTATGTATGTGTTAAGCTTGTATGTATATTGTATGTACCCTGGCATTAATTCGTAGTTTGGGAGTGAGAGGCCTGAATGTTAGATTTATTTTTTTTTTTTTTTAAATAGCAGTAGGAACTTGGTCTAAAAATTAAATCTCTCCCCAATTGTATAGTATATAAAATATTCAGGTGTAGGATGGAATAGTTTAAACTTTCAAACTAAACATCTAAAGTCTAATGTATCAAGTATCCTCTTTAACCTTGTCTTAAACTTCTGACAGTTATGCTCTTCAATTGAAGTGTGAAATGTTTGCTCTGTTTTAGGTAATTGATGTAAAGAGGAGTTACGTGAACATGACGGCTACAAAGATCGAGCTTACTATGAGAAAAGCAGAGCCCCTATTATGGGCAAGTCTTGAATTACCAGGATCAAACGCACAGCAGCAAACAGAAAATTCAGATTAATAATGAATCCAAGAGACGAGTTATTTCCCATCATGAAGTGGTGACTTGCTACTGTAATCAAGTATTTAACTTTTGTACACTCTTTTTTGATGCTAGATCTTGTGCTTCAGCCCACAAAGAAAGTTGATGCACAGTAAATGAGGGGTAAATTGAAGAGCAATAGCTATTTTTGCTCTTGCTCCCACGAGGATATTTATTCTAATTGGAGTGTTCCCATGGAAAGCTAGAGCTGTTGCCATTCTCTTACATCCTTGCCTGCTGTGCACCGACTTTCCAAATAGATGGGCTCTGTGTAATTTTTCAAGTGTTTTGTTTAGACTGGATCTGCTGGGATAGTCCATGCTAAATTCAGTTCTATTCATTATGCAACTTTTAATATTAAGGATACAAAATCTGAGTTTATGAAGCAATTAACATGAAATTCCACATTTAGAATAAAAAGGATACTTAAAACTAATTACAAAATGACACTTGTAGAATCTTCCACTTTTGTCTTCTGAAATTAATGTGCTGTTACCTCTTGATTCTGCAGTGATGGGATAAAGAGTATTTTGCAAAGGGTTTAAGTACTTGCTCACTTACTTGCTGTCTTTTGTATGTGAGAGCAGAAAATGGAGAGAAGGGGGGAAAAAAAAAATAAAAGCTACAGCAAGATGGGCAAGAGAGTATTCTTTTGTTCCAGGGCATTTCCCTGGCATTGGTTCTTGAACTATAAAAAGGAATGGACAGTGAACTGGCTGAATTAACCTAGCAAAATTCAGAGTACTGTAAAATTGCCAGGCTGCTATCTGTATTTGTTTGGTGGAGTTATTAGAATGTGTATTCTGTCCTATTCCACAGCATTCAAAATTAGGAATCTTTTTCAGAGAAGGTGGATATCTGTAGTAGTAGAAGACAGTGCACACAGTGGGTACCTGAGGAGAAGGTATTGCTATACATAGCACTTGTTGCTGAAGATAGGTAAATTTAGTTCTTCGCTGACTGTGTGATGAGTCCTAAGAGAAACAAATAATAAGTTTTAAAATATGTCTCAGATCATAATTATACCGTTCAATTAAAGTAATTTAAAAATACATTTTTGTTTTCATTTCTCCAATGGAAAACATTTAAGGTGCAACTTTTGTCTAAGCAGCAGCTTGTGTAGTAATATTAATTTCTCATTCTGCTTAAAATTGCTTCTTCATTTTGGGTTACAGCTGAAAAAAAAGCACACTTTCATGTGCAAGTCATGCAAAATAGCATTTTGGCATTTATTGTGCCAAAATTTGTAAAGGAAAATTTGCGTTCATGTGGGGTTGATGGCCAGGTTTCCTACCTTGGCAGTCTTTGGAGTGAAGCCAGTAGTAACTTTGAATGCAGGAAGAGCACTGTGAAGTGAAGAATGGGCTTCTAAAAATCGTACTTTTTTCCAGTAGGTGTAATTTGATTTAAATATCAAGTTCTGTTTCTAGCAGTACTCTGAAATCCTACTTTATGCTTAAAATAGTAGGAAATACATTACCAAAGAGCTGTTCTTCCCCCTTCCTTCCCCACCTGCCCCCCAAGGTCTAATTCCAGTGTTACATATATGGAATCTGTTCTGGTGATGCTTCACCTTTGCTTCAAGATCCTGTTTCCTCATTGACTTTGAGGAGGGAGTATGACTGCTTACTCCCTCGACTCTCTATTTGAAAAAGAAATCCAGCTTTACGCTAGCTCTAAGTTCTGCCTAAAAGCATTCTGTTAGCTTTAATAATACCGTTTTGAAGTATTCTTGAAAATGTCAGATGATACTCAGTGGTGAGGTGCAAGCTTGCAAAAATGTGTGCCTGAAAATGGTCCTCTAAAGCTTGTGCAGATGCCTGGTATGTTCTGAGCAAACAAGCAAAGTTCCTCTAGTACTGACAGTTACTTAAGCAGATGACAAATCCTAGATGCTGCAACTAATAGCAGGGCATGTGTATTTTTGTAAGCAGAACTCTGAACTTGGAGAGCAAAATGAGCACTGTATAAATGCCAGGATAAAGTTCTTATTTATCAAGCAAGTTTTAAAATGGCTGTCTTTATCCATATGTATGTATATGGATATGCATTTGTTAATGCCTTATGTTAATGTTTTCAGTGCTTTAGTTCTTCCATCTTTTTTCAGTATCATTGGCAGTAAATTTATATCATGTAAACCCCATATTAAGGAACAACAAGAAAAAAAAAAAAAGAATTTATGTTTTTAAGCAAGTCACAATACTTGATCAAGGCCATCAGTCATATGATTACTGAGCCTACTAAACCCTAAATTTAGCAAAGTGTGGGTGAATGGGGCTTCTGCTGTTCAGTCTTTGCAGTCCTGTATCTATTATACTGTTTTACATTGCATGCTGCTGGGAGCTGAGAGACCTTAGCAGTGCATGGGTCTCAGAAAGCTGCTGTAAACTCGGCCTTCAGTTTTGCTGCTTTTTTTTTCTCTGGTTTTGTTTAACTCGGTGATTTGACAGTTCCTGCTTTTCTCATTTGTTCACACATTCAGCAGAGAACTATAGTTATTTCTGCAGTTCCCTAACTTCTTTTCTAATCAGTGACAATAAAACAAGGCAAGGAGGTACAAGTCTTGAAAATAAATAGTAGCATAATTTTGCAAGGTCTGTGACATTTGGGGAATAAAGGATGAACTTTCAGATGCTGTAAATCGCTGCAAGTCTTCTGTTTAATAATTTTTAGCAACTTTGTATAGCCATATGTCTGCATCCATCATAAAGTTGCAAAAGGTATTTCACTTTGAATGCTTTGAGGAGATCCTTACTGCTACTCTGAAGCTGTCTTTAAAAGTGTTTTTGCATCCTGTGATATGGAGAAAGGAGATCTTGAAATATTAGTGGTTAGGTGGCACTTGGGAGTTTTTTTTTTTTTTTTTTTAAACTAACTTTAGTAAACATGGAGAGAAGGTGAAACCACTTGTCATACACCAAACCCACCATAATACTATTTGAAAGCAATATTTGAAAATGTAGGTAAGTGATTTGTTGATCAAACAGGTCTTCACCTGTCTAATAAGAGTTAAACTAAGTAACTGTATAAAGTATGACCCAGCATGTATGTACTGGGATGTCTGCAGTTAAATTACCCTTTATTTCGTGTCTTCAGAAGTTGTACTGTATTTAAGAAGTTGGTTAACTTGTTATAATCTGGTTATATTTTTCTACTTCATGGGACTCTAAAAGCTATGCTGTGTTTAGGAATGAGGTTACATGTTACACATGTAGACAGCTTATTATATGTCTTAGAATTTACCAGTCAGCTGCATGTGTCATAGTCCCTCCTTCAAATGAGAAATAATTTATGGATTTCCAAATTTGTGGGTTTTTTTCACTCTCATGTATAAGCACATTCTCCTACCTAGCATTACATCTTATCCTTAAGAGAAGTTTTCTGGGAAGAGTTAGAATTTGTTTCTAAGGTTAATGCATGTAGGCTCTTTTGCTGCTCTGACTCTTACATTTTACATGGCACTGATGTAGTACCAAAAAAAAAAAAAAAACCAAAAAAAAAAACCAACCTTCCATCTACTGATCTGCTGGAACACTTGCATTATCAAGTCACCATTTCAGTAGTCTAGGAACTAGTTTTGCTAGGAATTTTGTCTTGGAAAAAAAAAGTCTACTTATGATGCAGTTTTTGCTTGCATTCTTTGAATATGGCATGAGTGTCAGTGAAATACTGTACTATCACTGGTCCTTCCTTATTGCTACTATTTTATTTCCATTCAGGAAAGATCTTTAAGGTAATGAGTTATGTGTCTGGAACACTGTTTTTAAGGTGGCAATTTTGCCATTACAAGAGTCTTGAATTACATTGCAGAAGGGAAGTGTCTCTTGCATGGTTGTCTGATTCTGCACATTCATAAAACTTACATGCAGAAAGTTTCTCTGATCTCATGTCTTTATGCTCTAGATTTTTTTTCTAAATGTATTCAATAAAATTGTTATTACATGCTGGTTCCTCGTGTTTATTTTTGACTTTGTAGCAGGGAGATCTTTTGTTTGGATTTGCAACACAGTTGTCTAGAAGAAGAAGGAGGAAAAAGATTCCAGTGGGCACTTCTCGCAGGTCAGCGTATATTTGAGGAACACTGCTGTATTTTGATACAGCAAAGGTGGTTTGTTTGTTCTCCCTGACCCCCTTGTTTGTTTCTTTACATTTGTTCTAAAACAGCAGCCCAATCAAAAGTTTTGCCGTGGTTGCTGGGGTGGGGACTTGCTCATAAAAACTTTTCTGCCCAAGTTTCTTCAGCTTGGAATGGGATAAAGTAGGTGGTACAACCAGTAGATAGTAGATGGTATAATCAACTTCACAGTTATTGTGTCAAAGGGTTCATAGTCCCTCAACTATGGTCAAATGGTTGATAGCGCCTTCCCTTTCACTGAATTTGTCAACAAAATGAAAGACCCTGGGGACAGACAGGCAGGCACAGTAAAATCCACACCCTGTCATCAAATCAGCATGCACAGACTGCAGATGACAATGAAATGATCAATATTTCTCAATATGTGTAACAAAGTCTGGGTGTGCTGAGTTATGCCAATTAGAGTGGTTTGTAAATGTAAGAAGAGAAAAAATAGATGTTTCATCCATTTGATTTTTTCAAGATCTAGATATAAATATATATATTTATATATACACACACACACACATATCTTTGACAATATATTGTCTTTGATAGTTCTTTCAAAAACTGAAAATGTTGGTCCATTTCCCAGTAATCCTTAAGTGAAGTTTCCTCCTCGCAGGTGACGCTCAGGGGAACTTTTGTAGCGCCAAATGCAGTGCCAAGCAGCAAGGCTCCTTTTATCTTGTTTGTAACAGCAATTCTCTAATGACCAGCTGGCTATTGCCTCATTTGTTTGACATATGGTATAACCATATTTAATAGTGCCAAGCAGATACCGATGTAGGATGAGGTGTGTTATTCTAGCAGTCTGCTGCAAAGGCAAACAAGGCCTATCCAGCAAACGCCTTGAAAGCTGTGGCCAGGCTCAGTGCAGGGGTATGGGGTGAGTAGAGGAGGGGTGAGGGGTGGTGCTGGAGACCGCAGGAACCGTAAGGGATCAGCCTAGTAAATAACAGACCTAGGAGCTCGGCCAACAGCAAAAGAAATACCCTGCATATGGCGGGCAGTGTGGTGTTTAGGACAGTGGAGAGTGAGCGAGGAAGTATTTGGAGAAATTGCACTTTGAAGTGGCAGCTGTTGTGAGGAAGAAGAAGCCATGAGTATCACATGTTTCACATTTTACTTATTTTTGTTTTTCTAGTTGTGACTAATTCTTGGATTGGACGGTTAACATAGCAGTTATACTCCCCATAAACTTTATTTCCAAGTCTCCTTCGGCCCTGAGCAAGGCCGTTGATGCCTGCGTTCTGCTCCTTTCTCACTTCTGGCCATGGGTAATGTACACAAGTGCCTGCGTCTTTTGTGCTGCATTTCCGCAGAACTAGGAGTATTTCTCCTGCCTGAGCTGTTGCCTGAAGCTTGTGTTTGCTGCAGAGAAGGAAGGAGGTGCTAAAGCCCCCAGACTTGGGTTGAAGGGAATGGAGATAGGGTTTGGGAGGAGGAACATGCTCAAGAACAAAAAACAGTGGGAGGTGTTGGTTCCAAGAATACCAGAAGGGAAGAGTGATCTCAGCAAGGGCTAAATCTTTCCAAGCCTTTCTCTGCAGTGTCCCCAGCTGGCAGCGGAGAGGCAGCCCGATGCCCTGCTGTTTATCCGTTACATAATCGTGTGTTGTTACAACAGTTGCTGCATCCAGCAGCTCCGGCTCACGTTTCACTGTAAAACTGCAGCCGTGTTTGGAGGTAACGGTCGTGGCGGCATCAGCGAGACGTCAGCAGCGGCTCCAAGCACAGCTGGGGAGCTGCCAGATCAGCAGCAAGCCGTGACACCCTCTCGTGAGATGCTGCTTTCAGTGTTGTCTCTCTGGTTGTTTCCCTTTAAAGAAGGGCGGAGCAGGTGTTCGCACTTCTGCCTGGACCAGGCCCGGCCTGTGGTGCTGCTCCCCGCTGGAGACAGCTGGTCCGAACTGCAGGGTTCTGCAGGTCGGCCTGAAGAACCACCCGGGTCTTCTTAGAACTGGATGAAAGGGGTCTAAAGGATTCTGCAGGAGAAACTCTCCTTTGGTTGTCAGTGCCTTCTGGACTCTGCTCGCTTGACTCTATGGATTAAAACTGTCAGAAGAAAGAAACACCCCATGTCATTGACAACTTCTTAACCATTTTGTTCATCTAAGTTCCACCTACTGACACTGATTAATATATGTGACCGATGTCTTTTCTGAGCTCCACTCAGAGCTTAAGTCTCATATTCCATACGCCCACGGTTAAATCACAGGGTTAAACTCTTACTTTATTGGATCTAGTGTTAGTCTCGGTGGTGCAGAATGGAAATAGTCTTGTCTTAAAAGAGGCTGTTGACTAAATTCAGCTCCTGCTGGTTTCTCAGGGGATAATTTCTCCACAGCAGGTGTTGCTCAGTGAGCAGCATGTTCCTTTGGCTTGGCTGAAAAGAGAGCACTGTGGCAGAAACAAGCGAAAGTAAAATGAAATATCTGTATTTCATTTAATTAGCGTTGTCTTTTCTGCTTTGCTGTAATGCAGTCCGTAATGTTTCCCTCCATTCAACTCTTTTAACTGTATAACATTAAAATCTCAGAAGCAAAGATTAGGAGAATTTAAGAAAGAAAAAATGCAGGGTGTTTTGAGTATATATTCCTACAGGCTACAAAGAGCGCATCCCTGGCTGCTTTTAATACCGTGCTGCCTGGAGGGCCCAGCTCTGCCTCCTTGCAAGTTTCTACCATCGTGGGATTTTCTGGGAGGTAGGAAATCTCCTCAGTGACTTTCAGACCATGTCAACATGTTCCAGAAACTAATCCTGCTTTTTTTTTCCCTCTAGGAATAAATCGGGGTCACTATATAGCTCTTGCAGATGCGGTGTATCGCCTTCCACCCTCCGAATGGCACCACTGCAGGATAAACTGTTCCTACTCTCAAGCAATTTTGTTATATTAAAGTGTTTGCTTAAAAAAAAAAAAAGATACCTTAGAGGGCTAAAAAGTACTGTCTTCCACTTCCCTTGTGACTCCTCTACTTGCAGGTATCTCTTTTTAACCCTTTGCAAGTGCCTGTAGCAATGAGATCCCTGATGTGACCACATAGTGTGTCGGAGTCCCTAGGTATAAGCAGGGCATGGACAGGAGCAGTGTTAGTTCCTCCATGCAGAGAAGGAGTTAATGGTAACACTGAGGCAAGCAATGCAATGCTTTTTTTTATTACTATAAACAAAATCATAATTTTAGCTAGATCAGCTGAAGTGACTTAAAAGTTTGACCTTGACTTGACAAGACTCTTCAGCTGAATCATAAAAAATGGGTAAGTTAAAATACTCTGTTTTAACGCCTGACTCATACAGCTTTTGCGAGGATTTGTGAAACTTCTTCAGTCAGTCATCAAAAATTACAAGTTTATGGTGTACTTGCACTTCAGTCATTAGGACACCAGGACAAGTAAATTCTAATTTGATTGCTGCATTCAAGCAATTGCTGATGTGTAACTCAACCTTGTGCTGGGGTGCTACATTACAGGATGTTAAAGGTGTTGAGAGAAGCACTGACATCTTCTGATCCTCATAACTTTTTGATTTAATTTTCAAAGGTACTGAATTAGCTTAAGCTTTTATTAAGCCTAAGATCTGCAGGGCATTCTGAGGATAGTTTGATTTTGATTTATGTGATGACAACTTGCAGAAGAAATGTTTAAAATTACTACAGTTTTTGGTGCTAAGGAATGATTGTTGTGATTTAATTGTCTTATCACTTAGTCAGGTAATGCAGATAACATACTGAAAGGGCCATGTATATTATCCCCCTTTCTGACCACCACTGAATTGGACAATTGTTACAACTTCTTTTTCCAAAGGCAAAACAAAGTTATTTCAAGAGTAAGGGAATCTTAAATAATAAATACATTTATTGGCACTGTTCCCTAGACATTGGTTTTCTAAGAGACAGTTAGCAAACCAAATGTCAAGTTTTATCACAGTTTAATTTGTCAGATTCATTTGTAGTTTTAAACGTTGACGTGTGTTTTCCTTCTAGCTACATGATTCACAAATTTCTTCGTCCAGGTTGAGTGAATGAGCCCAAGCATGGGTACTGTGTAAGCAGAGTTCATAAAGGAAAGAGCGAGTGATATCACATTACCTGTTTGTAAGGAGAGCTTGAAAAATCCCTGAACACTTTGAAACTACAGGCAGCTAGAGATACACAAATAATCTGGGGCTGGAAGAAAGCTGTCAGCTGCTTTCTTGCCCATCCATGGAAAATGGGAGAGTTCTGACTAAAGCAAGGGATGGAATTTCAACTCTGAACAAATGATCACCAAATGTTTGGGACTTCATGGAAGTCAATCAGTATAAGCCCTTTATAAGTGCCATGGTTTGCCTTTTTATAGGGGTTTTGGTATTACTCTCCCTCTGTAGGTTGTAGTAGAGAGGAAGGGAAATATATTTAAGCTATTTCCATATCCTTTTCAGATGTAGCAGATCATGATGAATCATAGTTTGTGGTTTCTAATTTCCATAGATATGCAGCTGTTTATTAGCAATGATGCCAATGAAAGCCTGTTCTCTTGGTAGCATTTTTTCCTTTAAACCAAGTTCCTAAAGGACTGAACTAGAGTAATTTCTGTTTTCCTTGGCTTTGCTTGAGATGGGAACAATTCTGCCCATAGCCTGGAAGAAGTTATGATGTCCACTGTTCTGTTTCTCTAATTCTGTCCTGTTTTGTATGACGTGGTTGCTACTTCCAGTAAACAAATAAAGAAAAAATATTTTCACTATGGCCTGCTGCAATTTATAGTTGTGAAAAAAGGCAGTATATTTTACATAAGATATGAAATTGGTTATTACCTGCCAGAAATTGGAATGCAATTTAATAAAATTTTATGCCATTTTACCAGTTGTAAAGCAGGTGGATAGGTTGTACACTTTAAAGTCAACTAAAGCAAGAATCTTTTTTTATACATATAAATTAGAGCTTTGAATGTATACACAGCTCTAATGCAAAGTTACTTCAGCTCTTATTAGAAGGCAGAACTACTGCATGGACTCAAGCCTGAGGCAATCAAAAAAGCCGTGTTTCAAATGACATCCCCTTTTCCCACAGCTGTCACTAGTATCAGCCCATGCAGTTACACTGTCCTCGAGCTCCCGCAGCTGCAAGGCCACATCTCTGCATGAAACATCTGCAGCTCCTGCAGAGAGAAGCGAACACGAGCTGCCCCTGCTGTGGGACAAGCTTCAGAAGGAGCAGGACGATCGGCTCTGTTGTCTCCTAGTCCAGGATTTCTGAATGCAAATAAAGGATGGAGGCGCACAGGGATGTTCACTGGGGTAGATGCTCAGTGTTTCTCCATAAAATGCAGAGAAGTCAAGGTTTCTGCACAAAAACAGTTGTGTTTTCTGATGATCAGGCATGTCTAGTAGCCCTGTGGCTCCCTTCAGTGGGGAGGACCTCTACATATATGTACATATATGTGAAATATCTATATGTTTATGCATATACATATATATGTATATGTGCGGGAGCTAAGTATAGAAAGCAAATTACAATAATGATCCCTCACCAGCCCTGCAAAAGGGGCTCTAACATGAACAAATGCCTTCAGTGTCTTACATTATAGCAGTCATCATTAGAAAAATGTATTTGCTAGGCACTGACGTTTTACTTTGAAATGTTTGCTGTTGATCACTGCTACAGACAAGATTTACAAGATTATAAGAATCAGGATATCAAAATCAGCAGATCCTTCAGAAAAAAAAAAATCTCATTGTGAATTGATTCGCTGTTTTCCTCCCCCAAATTTTTCTTCCATCTAGTGCTTTCCTTAAAGTTACAGTTTTGCCAGTATCAGAAGAGCAATAATTTCCTTCTCAGGAGGTTTTTGATATGCAAAGCTCTTGCTCAGTCTAGCAGAGCATTTGCATGCGTTCAGAAACCAAGACGTGGTGGCTGTTAGAGGAGGCTGTGTTGCTATAGTAGGACCACTGCAGTGAACTTTAGACTTTGCTATTTGCCTGAGCTCTTCACAGAGCAACATCCTACGCTACCTCTTTCAGTGTCTCTGCTGCTGCCTGCACAGTGAAGGCTGCAATGGAAATCTGCCTCTTCACTTCTTCCCAGGCTCCATGCTGATCTGCTTTGCTTTCAATGTCAAACAGGGCATCGTAGATTCCAGGGAAGGACTCGCCAGCATACTTGTTGTGACTGCTTGGAGCAAAGATGACGTGTCTGTGGGGAAAGGGAAAAATGAAGGTATAATCACTAACAGAGTGCATGCTCTTTGCAGGGACCTGGAGATCTGAGTGCTGCACAGGACAGCTAGAAATCATATGAGGATCCCCATCCACTAAATATGCAGGAATTCCAGAGGGGCCTAGCTTTAAAAAGACTGCATTAAATAACCCTGAGGACAAAATCTATAGGAAAGAGGACAGATTTAAAACAGACAGCCTTCTCCTTGAAGAGGCACTGCGTTTGGCTAGTTAAGAATGAGTCCATGTTAAACTTCTGCAGAGCGGAACTCAAGGCATGAGCTGAGCAAATGTGGTAGTCAGAGAACAGGGAGCAAATGCAGCAATGGTGGCAGAAGCCTCAGAAATCAACTGAACACTTGGCATGATGCAAGGCAGCAACGCAAAGGCAATGTGAAAAGAGAAGAATTAGGGGAGGATACTTGAGGAGAGAATGAATTCTGCAGATCTCCTAGATAAGAAGTAATTATACTGCAAATAAAATTGGCAAAAGCGTGGTTTATTTATTTATTTTTTTTAATGAAGATGGATTTTTGCAGCCCTGTTGTTAAATTGTTTTGGCTTATATGAAGTCATAAAGCACATTTGTAAAATATGGCCCCCAAATCAAAATAAATACTAAAACTAAATTAATAAATGCAATCCATCAAAAAAAAAAAAATCTCTGACTAGTTCTAAATGATACCCGATACCCCAGGAGAACTTTTATAAAACAAACATTTCTCTTTTCCAAAAGGCTCAAAGACAGTTTAATCTAGGAAGGATGACTCTGAGTTCTACCTGCCTAAGGGTCTTCTGGTTTGGTGTGAAAGCCGTTGGTCAGTGAGTCAGCTCTATCTAGTCACTAGGAAAAGGGTGACACTGTGAGTAAAATGAGGTGTCACATACCTGACGCTGAAAACTAGCTTCTGTCTGACATTACTGATAAATGCATGAGACTTCTACAAAGTGTGATGCACCAAACATAATTTTTCTCCACGATAACACGCTTAGAGAAAACATAAAGGAAAAAAACAGCCAAGGGCTTCAGCTAGGAGGAACGTCTACAGAAGCAGCCAAAGCTGGGATGGATGAGACTCCTCAGCACAGCTTTAACAGGCCTTTACCTTTATCTATCCAGTGCTCAAAGGTCACTCTCCTGATTCTCATTTCTTGACTTCTCCACCTCACCCTCACTACAAAACTGTTCTTACTGTCTTCTCCCTTTTACTGTGCTCTTATTTCTTTCCGAACAGTTGACTTGCCACTGAATCCTTACTTGGTATAGGTTTGAAAGAACCAGTAATAGCAGAAGTGGCACTATATACTTGGCACCATTACTTGGCATTACAAGGCTGGTGCAGGCAAAAAGGTCTCCTTAGAGGTTATAGACAAAGTCCTCTGCTCACTGGGTTATGCCTTAAACAGAGTCTGTCAAGCTAAAAGGGCCCTAAAGGTCTTTTCCACAGCATTTGAGCTGAACAGTCAGTCAGGGTGGGATGGATTCACTTTGTTGCCTCACCTGTAAAATTTCCTGTCTGGTAAGCCCAGAGGATCAATAAAAGCTCTTTCCACAAGCAACAACTGATCATTCACGATTCGTACTGCAACCACACTGCAGAAATTGGAGACACAGAAATTCACATAGTGAAGAAATATGATTCTTTAACTTCAAACACTTTTGTTTGGACAGAAAAATGGCAAAGATGGTCTGCATTTTACGAGAAGAAAATATTCAAACTGAAATATTCAGTACATGCTATACTAATGCACTAGGATTTCTGTGTTAGGTTTTGCAAAACTACAGGACTTGGTGAGATGTGAAATGCTTTATGATAGCAACAGAAACCTATGTAGTTCTAAACGGCACTTGGAAAATCCTTCTTAATAAACAGACAGGAAGGGTGGGATTTAGGTAAAGATGAAGATATCTGGATTCAGGGGTACCCTGGAAGCCACATGTCTAAGGACCCTCTCTATTAAGTGGAGCTTATGCAGCTGACTGGCCAGTATGGATGGGATTCATCTGCCTAGACAGAACTACCTGGTACTGTAGTAGGTGTCTTTAAGCATGTGGCTTCCAGTCACTGCACCCAAAGGGCATGGAAATCCCATAGGGCCCATAGGTTTACAAGCCCCATGTGGATGTCTAGGGCATTCTGGATGCCCAAGGATTCTTTAAGGATGAACTAAGTTACACCCTGGGCTCCTAACTGGTCTGTCTAGATCCCAGTGGTTATCAGCTACAGCACCCAAGTATAGCTTTTTAAATATACCCACATTAACTTACTCTTCAGGAATGTCCCTGGGCAAGGAAAGGAAAAACTATGGATGGAACCATGTTAAAATGGATATATATTTTTCCTTCAAACTTACTCATTTGTGTCAGTTTGTTCAAGTCTCCTATGAAACTCAGCAGCAGCATTTGAGAAATTCACCACAGCAGAAAAAAGTGGATCTAGAAAAGAAAACATCTTTTGCTAAATTTCAGAGTATTTTGCTGAGCTCCATATAGCTTTCATGTGTATTTTGGGGGACATAAATACTTTTGTTAATGATGTTATAATTCTGTTAATTTTGTTGTCTTTCCCAGAATTCATTAGTTTCTCTACTGCAGGCTTCTAAAAAGCTGCACTATTAGCAATAATAAATGAAGACCTTATACAACTGTGCCAACAGCAAGCCAGGATACTCTGTAAAGCTTTCTCACGTATACACCTGGCCTCTACGGGACAAGGAAAAGCCAGGCTGGAATTGCAAGTGGAAGACACTGCAGTTTCATTTCTTGATGAAGTGATGCACTGCTGCATTTAGTTAAAGAAGCCTGACTGAGACCTAAAGTTCTAGCTCTTTCCTCAGGTTGTTCAAGGATTTTCCTTTTAGAACATCGAACATTTTCTACTCATATCACACCAAAGGAATATGATATGCATACTGAATAATATTAGCACAGACATAAAAGAAGTGATGGTCACAGTCTTCTGTATAAGGGTCTGTTTAAAACAGACATGGGCCAAAGTGTCAATATCTACAACCAAGTTTTATAGAACAAGGAAAAGGTGGACAAGATGGGGAGAAGAATTTCTGACCTTATACTCAGAAAGCGGTTTCACAACTTGTACTTTCACCCCATAAGTTTCAGAAAACTTCAGATAAACTAGTGTTCCCTCTCTTTGGTCCTACGGAAACATGGTACATATGATTGGGTTATCCCCTACATCCAGTTGCCTATGGGCAATCATGACCTACAGATGTTTGGAAATTCAATGAACATTTTCAAAAAATCCCTTAGGATCTCTGTTCCCAAGACCCCCGTTGAAAGCTGTTCCACATTCTCATTTACTCTTCTGATTTCCAGCAAAGCTATTGATTCATTACCAGCTTATTTGTTCTTGCATTAGCGTATTCAGTTTATATAACTTCAGGCACAGATTTTACCCCTGCAATCTTTTTATAGACTGTGGCATTAGAGATAGAGGTCACCTTGTGAGAGTGAGATTTTTACACTTGTTTGCAACTGTGCATTTCCGCAGGGCAATAGATAGACGTTTGCTACGGGACAGAGTTCTGCCCTTGTTGACATCACGGCTATGTTGTGGTAACAGATTATGTTTCAGAAACAGGAGAAGGGGATTTGAGAGAAAAATAAAGGGCACCTGAAAATATGTAAGAGAATTTGTGCTCATGTTCGCTAGCTATTCAGTGCTGTCAGCTTCGGTTATTGTATAAAATATTATGTACACGACGTTTCTTTTTCTTTTCCCTGTAAACCTTAGTTCCAGATAGCATATGAGTAAATGAACATATTTCTTGAAAAAAGATTTCCAGCCTTCACTGCTGCAGAGGAGTTACTGAAATGTGAATCCAAGTACAAAAAAAAAAAAAAAAAAGGCTTTGAAAATTTAGAAAATGCAGAAAAAGCTTTGTCTATTAGAGTTATGATTTTCAAAGGCAGTTGTGTGACTTGTTCAGGCTTAATTTACAGTTTTGTCATTCAGTATTGGCCATAGGGAATCCCTTGAAAATGTTGGGTGAATTTCACAATATTGCAAAACCTATCCATAGATTGTAATGCATTCTGGTGCCACAGAATAAAACCAAACAAAACAAAAAAGGTAAAAATTTAATTAAGAATGAATTTAAAGATGATTAGATAGCAGAGAAGAGACATGAAAACAGTAAAATACTGGATGTATTATATGTATATATGTTTTGTTTTTATTTATATGGTGTCTCTGGATATTGACCTGCTCAAAAAATAATGCTGTGGGTATTACTCACCAAAAGATACTTCATAACTTTTCAGTTGTTGTTCATATTTTTTGGCCCATTTATAAATTCTGTTACTATATCCTTTCAAGGCTTCTCCATAATCTCGACAGTCAAAAGGAATGATGTGGGAATCTGCAAGTTCATAAACCAGTCTGCCTCGTAACTGGGCAACCGTCAGCTGCTTCCTGAAGGTTGGGTCATAAAACTTCTCCACTAATTCAAAGGTCTCATACACTGTGTGATAAACAGGGTAATTGCTGAATTTGTCTGTTTTCTGAAAAAGAGCAAGTAATTTTGTCACTGCCCTGTGTTTATGTATTGACCATGTAAAGACTAGGATTTTTAGCACAGAAAGAAGCAGTTGCACGCTACAGAGCACAGTTTTCTGTCCTTCCCATTTTAATGTTTTCATCTTATGAAAGGAAAATAACGTTAATGTATGGACTGTCATGCAAGACAAAGTGAGCAGTTATTCCTTGTCTTCACCTGTACTGAGCTGCCTCCCGCTCCACTGGACGCAGATCGTTCTCACCAAAAATGAAGAGAGCCTGGGCATGTGGATAGCACAGAGCTTTAATCGTAGGCCCCTTGGGTATAGTGATTTTTTTTTCTGAACAGAATCAAGGAAACTGTCTATGTATGGGTGCTACTAATGGTCCAGTGCAATGAAGTCCACATCTCCATTCAGACTCTATAAATATCTTTCTGCAAACTAGACAGCCTATAGAATGCACACATCACTCCAACATGCTGATTCTCCAAGCTTTTAGAGTTTTATTTTGCTAATTAAAAGATGGTACCAATGAAAGTCAAAGGTTCTTTGTTTTTTTTTTTTCAATTTCAGCATTAAATGAATTATGAATAACTGCTTTTAAGAGACAATTGCTCCCCATTATCAAACTTCTTGGAGCAGTTTAGATCACTTACCCTATTCTTGGTGTAACGAACCCTGGCTGATGCAATTCCCAGTCGCTGAAAGAAGGCTTCAAAATCACTGCCTGATCCTAGCTTGTTTATTCTACTTGTAGGGAAGAAAACACATCTTTGTAAGAATACTTATTGTATAATAGAGTAGTAATTTATTGTAAAATAGAGTAGTAGTAACATCAGAGACCAGACAAGAGGCAATTCTAATTTTTCAGTTCAACACACTGAATTAGCAAGAGAGATCTTCTTTGGCTCTACCAGGTAGCAACCCTGTCATGACACTGACCACATAAAAAAGCACATGGTGTGGGGCACTGCCAACCACTAGAGCTGCAGAATTGCAGCAGATGAATCTCTGCAATCTTAAAATATTAATAATCTATTTCCAAACGAATGCAAGTAGAAAAGCAATGTATGTAAAAACAGATGTGTTTATATCCTTAATGTATTTCCAAAGTACAGTCAAAACCTGGTAAATAATTTCCACTGCAGCAGATAAAACTAGATTCAGTACTTACAAGTAAATATTGCCATCTACTGGGTCGATGTGGCAAGAGAGAGGAAAAGAAAACAAGTAACAATAATAGAGATAACTGTAACATTCTAAATACTTTTTAAAAATATTTATTTAATTTTTGTTAAGCTTTAACTTTAAATATCTAGTCAAGAAAATAACTAGTGAAAGTTGTTAGTATAAATTACTTCAAGAATCTATTTGTGTCAGCTGAGAAGGGCCAAATGTGGTAGTTTTTAAACAGAGGAGAAATCTTACTAAGTCTAATGAACCTAGAAGTACATCTTACCAAGGACTGGGTGCTGTATACAAAATGTTTCAATTAAATTCCACGAAGACCCATTCTATTTACCATACATGAGTAATGCGACATTGTGATTTAGCTCTACCAATCACAAGCTCAAAAATATCTTGAAATTTTAGTATCTTCAAATACAGAGTTTTAATGTATTTCTTCTATCTCCACAATATAAACAAAAGTATCATGAGAGCATTTTAGTAACTGTTCTAGGCAGTTTCTTTCAAAAAACCCTTTTGTTTACCCTAACAATCTTGATACTACTGCATCTACTTGGGTGAATATTCTAAATTATTTCCCTGACCTTCACGTCTTTAACCCCTTTCTAAATCTTTTATTCTTCTCTTAATAAAGGGCCTTTAAATAGTATGAGGTTTCATTCTGCAGTGAGCACAGATGTCACCAGTACAGATTTTTTAAAAAAAAATGATGTAAGATTTTATTTTATTGAAGTGATACTGTTAGTCGCCCTGCACTAAAAGGCTTTGTACTATTTTTTGTCAACAGCATCTCATGAAAAATTCTGGAGAGTGTAATGAGATGATATGATGTAAATACAAGGAAGGGAAAAACAGATTAACAGCTTACCTGGGATAACTATTATTTTCAGTTGCAGGGTCTTTCTCAAGCCAGCTTTTGTAAAGAGACTTATTTTCATAACCCTCATCAGGGCTTGAAATCTATGGAGGAAAAGATTATAATCTCTAATACCCCTAATTCCATTTAGCTTCAAAGTCTTACAGCTATCTGTCTGCATCATTCTTAATCTGGAGCCTTGCTGCATGTAAGTCAGTAGCTGTGCACTATTTACCTTCCGTACCTGCCCTTGCACATCCAGCTGTGCACCCCTGGCACTAAGAACCCTCCAAAGACAGGCCACTAGTTTTGGGGGAAAATTAGAAGAATCCTGGGGATTTCTAAGATTTTTTTCACACCTTATTTTAGCACAGTGTATGTAAGTAAATAGTGCTATGGAGTTGCTTCAGGAAGAAAATTAGAAGAATCCTGGGGGTTTCTAAGATTTTTTCACACCTTATTTTAGCACAATGTATGTAAGCATGCATATACTTAAATAGTGCTATGGAGTTGCTTCAGGACCCAGGCTGCTCCAGCTGTGTTCTTTAATACATGGAGAAGATAGAAGCTGTAAGTGGAGGTTTTCCCCATGCTGCACCAGTATTTTCTCAACAGGTTGAGCCTGTAACGTGACAGCTTTCTGCTATAGGAAGACTATAGGAAGAATTGTGCTAGAAGGAAGGGTCGAAACCGGTCATTAACTGTTTTACAGCAGCGCCAAGGGGAGTAAACGAAGACTGTTGTACAAGACACCATATGTGCAAATGCATTCCCATCTCATCCTTAAAAACATGGGAAGCTGCATAACCATTTTAGAAAAGATAAGTATTATTAGTACATCCATCACCCTGATGGGAAAACTATGAAACAGGACCAAATGAGCTGACTATAGCTGCTAGGAAATCTGTGGCAGATTCACAAATCAATCGAACACTCCGGTCTCCAGGTGCACTTATCAATCTTCAATAGTTATAGCTGAAGCCAGGGACTGTCTTTTAAATATAAAATTGGTTGTGATGGATGGAGGATTGGGATTTTTATTTTCAAAGAAGAAAAACGTTTCTTACAAATACCAGTCATAAATGCATGGTCAAGGCAAACGGTTCCACAGTACTGTGAGGTCTTAAATGCTGCATTGAAAAATATACAGACTTCCATTTGAAAATCCTAGGGGTTCTGGCCTCTGAGATTATGGCAGCAGCTAGCAGAAAAACAACAACTTTGGGAAGTAATTGTTTGGCTGTTGTCATTTCCAGGGCATTTTGGTCAAGTTCTAGGGCTAAATTGAAAATGGCACTTTCATAAAAGCCAGCTGAACTCTGCCATATGGGAACAGAACTACTCCATGCTCTGGCAGAGATATTGTTCTGACAGCTCTGGTTGTAAAAAAATTGGTCAGCTTTTTCATCCAACACTGACAGCCTAGTGAAACACACTGTTTGCACTGATTTAGATCCAAATCTAGAATCAGTGTAAGGTCACTACCAGCTCAAGAGGATATGCAGAGTTCTGTAAATATAAAAACAAGGCAAAAAGTGACAAACCGAAAATGGGATTTGGAGCTGGACTAGTGCAATAGCTGGCTGGTGGGTAGCGATTTTCTAAAGTCTTGTAGTAGAGCATAACCAGAAAAGACTGTAAAGAACTAAACATCCCATCTGTATACTTGAGGACCACATTTTAAGAGCAGAACTCCCTGGAGTGCAGCACTTCACACGTACCCTGCAGGTTTGGATGAAAAGTAGCTCCCTCAAAGAGGGAAAAGAGAGATTTTGTGATGGGTATGCTGGGTTGGACTCTTTAATGTGAACAGAAATCACTTTCCTTCAGACATACGTAATTTTCATCCACATCTACACTAATGTTCTTTTACATACTGGACTTTCTGAATGAAATTCTATGTTGTGCAAAAGTAAAATGCAAAGTATAGGGAATATTTAAGTTCATTTTATATTATACTGTGACTTCCTGAGCTGTCCAGGACTTCCGGCTGCTCAAGAATCTGACTACCAAAATATCTGAAGACTTAAAGGGTCAAGGACTTGCTTTGTACATCTCATTTCTGTAGTGAGGCATCCCTCGCTTCTCTTACAGAGTCTATTAAAACAAAGCTGTTCTTGAGTATAACTTTCTAGACACAGGTTTCACAATCTGATTCCTGGGGGTTTCTGGTAACACATCGAGACTGGTAAATTAAAGATGGTTAGGAAATTAAAACTGCAGCACCTAAGAAACTGTTGTAGAAGTTGGTGTATGAATTTATTTTTCATATAGGTGAAAGGTGGTCCCAAATTGAAAAGTAAAAATAAAAATAAAGATAGGAAGGTACTATGCTGGAAAAATGTGGAACTGATGATCTCAAATTTATTTAGAGAGACAGTGAAAAAATATGAATAAGGAGAAAAAAATGCAAATGAGATTCATAAACCCATCCCCTTAATAATGTCTCCATGAAGTATATGCTTGTATATAGTCTACTTCTTATTATCTCTTTAGCAAGGAAATAGTATGGAATTATGGAGTAGTTGTCGGACTTTCAATTGCTTACATTACTTTCTGCTGGCAAAAGCTTAAAAGACACTGAACAGTAGCATTTTCTCAAAAAAAAACAAAAAACAAACAAACAAACAAACAAACAAAAAAAACAAGTCTCTCAAGGATTTCAAATGCTGCTTTAGCTGAATATTCTACCCTGAATCCATATTAGTTGAATGTGGGTTTGAGATCAAAGATTAAGGTAGTATTTTTAGTCCAGAGCATTATTAGTCTCTTTTGCAGATATATGGATCCCTGGGTGAGTGACTTGCTATGGACAGAAAGTATATTATTCTAACCAGGGTCCTGCAGACATCACAGACCCTTCCATGTATAAATTGTCATGACAAAAACGTGAACTCAAACATGTGCCCATCTTCCTTCCCTGAAAGGCACAATGAGTAAGATAAAATGAGTTGATAAGAAAATAAAATGTAGGGAAGAAAAGAACCCACAGGAATAACATTGATAAACTATCCCAGATCTACAGCAAGGCATTGACAGTTTAAAATAAAATGTACTGCATTTGAAAACTCAGAATGAATGCAACATAATTTATAAGGGAGACTAATACCTGGAGTTATCTGACCAAGAGCAGTTACAGCACAGATTCTGCTCCCTTAATAGTTATCAGGAAAAAAAAAAAAAAAGGTACCTTGGGAGGTCTGTGTGTACAAAAGGAGACAACAACATTTGGTCAGATAAATCCCATTCTAAAGGCATCTATTTCTAGCCATTCCCTTTAAAAGAAGTCTGACTTGCTGAACTGGGGCACAGTTGCCTCCTGTTTATGGAGATAAATCCAGATCTGAGCACTGTGCTGGCTCACACTCACCACAGTGATAGTGCAACGGCTCCTGCCGGGTGCCTAATCTGCTTAACTCCTTATGTAGCCCATGAAATGTCATGCCTTGGTATGTCCTGATCTTCTAGCCCTAGGACTATTATTGCTGAGAAGTAAAACTGAAGGATACCGAACTGTATGTATCTTGCCTTGCTATAAGGACCCATGCAATCTTTTGTAACCACAGTTTCTCAAGGTCTTAGTAAAACTGAGAGAAGATTTGAAGGAACAAACAGACAAGAAAAAAAAGGGAGCAAACTAATGTGGAAACAAATACATTCTGTTCTGCACTTGAAACAGAAATGTAAACACAATTTATTTCTTTGAATTTCCTCACACCTTTTGACAAATGATCTAGTTTGAGTATTTTATTGTCTTGTCTTTATCCCAATTATATCAGATATACCTTCAAGCCTTTCAAAGAATACTGACGATGTGTGAGCCTGGGTTGTATACAACTGTGGGGAAATTTGGCCATTGATTTTAGTGGGATCAATTTTCTTCTTGCCCAGCCATAAGATATGATAGCCAATAAACCTGCAGTTCTACATTATCAGAAATTCACAAACAAGAGACAACTCTGATTTTGTACCTCTTTTGTCAGATTATACACCAGTTTGTAGAGAAGGGGGGTGCAGTCAACTCTCAATGTGTAGTTGCCTGAAAATGAAACACAGACAAGGAAGTTTTCCCCTTACATACCAGCTGCGATAAGGAGCATTATCTTCTTAATTGATTAATCCCCGCAGTTCTTTCTTACACAAACCTATCCTTGACTCTAAAATAAAAACTGTAGATCTTACATCAGAATATATACAGAAACAGACTATTTATTTGGTCATGTCGTGTAAGCTACAGCCTCTAAATGGCAGTGATGCACTGGACACAGTACCAAAGCAATAATGTAATTGAGCCTTCCCATAGTTCTAAAATACACCCAACTATCTTTCATTTTTTATAAGCCCTTTTCATTCACATGTTCTCCAAAGCTTGCGTTAAACAGAAAGCAGCAGTAACACCCTAGAGAAAGAAGTTGTTAAAAACAAAGTGAGTGCATTCAGGAACTGTGCAGGAAGGACCTGCTCCTTACAACATTTTTTAAGAAGTCTTCAAAGCAGCTACTTCTTTTCTAATAAAAAAGAGGCCCTTCTGACTGGAGGCCTTCCTGAGGTATTCACTGGCTGGAACTGGAAGACAGACCATCTTCTGAGTAAGAGGCTTGCAAGACACTTGACTTTCTGTATTTCGAACTAAACCTCACCCAGACAGGAGGCAACATAGATGGAGAGTAATGTTTTCATTCATTCTCTTTTAACCTCCCATATACCACCAGGTCTGCCCCTCACATGCAGACTAAAACAAGGAGGGGTAAGAAGGCTTTGCTATAATAAAATGCAAGCTATAAAATAACACTGTTAATAGATTTTGATACGGCTGCAAACTAATGGGTCATCCTTTGCACAACACATGCTCGTAAAAGGGCTAGATGGACAACTACCACCCTGCTATAACGATAGAAAAGATACTAGGTAACAAGAAACACTGTAGGGAGTGTGTGATGATAAACAAAATAAATATCAGAAGATATGAGCGCCATAGCTCCACCAGGCTCTAAAGATTTAAATTTTGAGAGTAAGGTGAAAAATGGCTAAGAAATTTTAGAAAGTACTTGGAGGGTGGTGCTCTTTTTTTTCTTATTATGTATTTCTTTTGCATTGGATTTGCTTTCATGTTTTCTTTAATGCTTGAAGTAAGAGAAGTGTTTGTACAATGAAGATTTGGAAGCAAATTGTTAATGCATCAGTGTGCTGGCTCCAGATCAGCTAAAAATTATGTGTTACAATCCATGCTGAGAATAAGAGGCAGTTGTAAAGCTATTATTTCATCCACGAGAACTTCTAGGCATCGAATTCTGCTCTACTTTTCACACAGTATGTAGGCTGCATAATTGAAAGAACAGCTCTCCTCTCCCTATACCCCAATACAGACTCAGCATTTAGAAATTGTTTGGCTTTTTGATTCCTTCCCATCCCTTTTTTGACAGAAAGAATTTTCAGCTGACAGAAAGAAAAGGATTTCTTAAAAATGCCTATCCATATACAATGTATTCTCACACATCAAGCCTAAATAACGGGGGTTTAACACCAAGAGGGCAATGCCCTAAACAGCGGATGTCATGATGCAGGATGCTTCATGGGACTTCACTGACTACTATTTCAGTGCATACAATGGCAAATGAATCCCCTTTATAACAAAATTCAGGATAATTTAAGAGGGATATCCTCCTCATAATTCTGAGTTAGGTCTTAATGCTGGCCCCAACATTCAAAATCCAGTCTCTCAGCAGCATGCCTGTGTGACAGATTCTGTGCAGAATTTGAAGGCAGTAATGAGCACAATAAAGGTGGCTCATCTTTTCAGTACTTATTTTTCTTGGCCAGCCCTGCCATGACACATAATTAACTCTTGGCATAGCCAAAACAAAGCACCAAAATGGACTCCCACCTCCACAAAATTTAAGCCCAAGATTTTGGCACAAATTGTCTTTGGACCATAATAAATGATAGGTCTCCAGAGTGTTACCATTCCACACCTGAAAGCAGCACAAGGAGCACCACCTTACACATATTAAAACTGCAATTGTATACTGAAGCTAATGAAGTTAAGAGAGAGTTTTAAATTCAGACTTCACCATTCAATAGCCTATAACACTACACTCCTTCAGGAGACCTTCTGGACTCAGTGTCCGTGGACTGGAGCTCACAGAGGCTGCTATTTGCCAAAAGGAAGCAACATAAAAATTTAAATGGATCTCTCTCTCCACTTAATTCTGTATTTGATACATTATTCTCAAGTTCACATGATCTATCTTAGGTTTGCCAGTCTGGATACATGATACAGAGTGAAATATTAAAACTGGCACCTAAACCAAGTGAAGTGAGTTTAAAAATAAAATACACACCTTCTATAGAAGAATCTGTGTTGATGTATGCAACTGCTCGCTCCTGGAGGACTCTGGCATTTTCCTGGGGTTGCAGAAGTATAATTGTTACTTTGAATTGTTGACATTTAGCCAAGGGCATGTTAAGGACATTGTTGATAAGTAGTGTTATGTATCTTACTAATTATATTAATGTCAGAGGATGGGTCAGCTATCTGGACACATGAAATACGCTCCTGCTTTCTGGAACGTCTTAATTTGTCTTGCAAACCATTTTTCTCCAGTATCACTCAGCAGCAAGAAGGAACTGGAGAATTACTGAACAGTGTTAGCATAGGGCAAAGTTTAAAGTTATATACTTTTTTAAATTGTGCACTTATTTTACCTAGAAACTATGGCACATTATCAAGTTGAATGTCAGCTGCTTTTTCAATTTGCAACACACAACTGTGAGCTGATCCAAAATTCCTCCGTGCTTTTAATCCCTAATTATTTGTATGAGCTCCCACAACTGAATTCATTTTACCACTGGTACCAAATTAATTTCAAAAAAGGATGAGTCAAAGCACTGACATTTACTATTAAACTGAATTTGATTGACTATTTTGAGACAACAAAAGTATTGCTTTCATTCCAAATATATATATACATATGCTTTTTTTTGCACACCAGTAATTATGTTTGAAATTGATATTCTAATCAGTAACTCTTGGCTTTGTGATAGATATTCTAATTAGTTTAGAAAATTATATTTGATTCATTTAATTTATAAGCCAAATAATCATTTTCAAGTTATTTGAACAACAAATTTTGTTGGTAATTGATAACTCCATAACACAACTAGTGTCTTTAAAACCAACTGTAGAGGAAATAATGCTGCAAAAAATATAAAGGCAGGGAGAAAGCTTGTGCATGCATATATGCCTTACATATGTGCAAAATCTTATTAGCAAAATAAATCCTTTCATTTACAAGGAATGAAGATTGTTTACATAAAAAAGGATGTTGGCATAGTTGCAGAATTTTCTTTTTACACAGAGGAATTTGAACAAACAGGTTTATTTTCCTCAAGATTTAGAAAATGACAGATCTGGCAGCTGCAGAAAACATGGATGTAAGCTGTGAGGAATGTCTCTAGAGAAACTGAATCTAATTTAGGTGTCAAAGAGGACAAATGTACACTGCCAAAACAAAGCAAGAAAACTATAAGAACACTGCAGTGCAAATATGCATTGTGCTTATGGCTTTCTAAAATAGTACAACTGCCATGTCAAGAAATAATGAATTACTAGATATTAAATTATTCAGCCAAAACATTATAGAACACAGGTAGCAATATGAGAACAAATCAAACATAACAGACCTCCTAATTTATTCACGTTTTACCTAATGGAAAATGATATTTATAAGCATTATTGTTTTATATTCCTCAGAGTTTAAACAATTGTTCTTTTCATATTGACAGCATCTAAATATGTGTAAATATATGGACAGAGAAAGAATGCAAAAATAAAAGTTTAATGCGCAGCATACTCTTGGTACCTGTGGAGTTTAGCTGGGAAGTTTCAAATCCAACACTTCATCGTAAAATTAATTAGTGATAAAAGTTTAATTTTGCTTTTTTTGATCTAATATCCCCTAAACCAAGATGACAAGCCCTTTCATTTGCTAAAGAGGATTCATTTCCATGCAAAGGGTTTGGTGTGCTCATGGATCACAGATGCATGATCCACAATTTAGCTTATAGAAACCGAAGAATTTCTCAAGTAGCAAGTGAGAGAATATATCAATTTAGACAGTGCTATGATTTTGTTGAATGAAGGCACACTTAATTCATACCTCAATCTTCCACACAGTATGCAGACCACTAGGGTGCACTTGCTTTGAATTAAAGGAGATTTTTAAATTGTAGAAAAGCTTATCTACTCATGCTGTTGTGAATAGTTAGCTAAGGGGGACTCATTCCTTCCTGAAGAGGAGTTTGTTTTGAACCAATTTTACCTCGAATCAACTGCAATCTACGGACAGACACCACTTGACACTGTGTCAGTCTGCAACAGACTTCCAAGTTATACTTAGAGCTTTCTTTATACTAATCTTTATTTATTTACCTCAGCCCATTCTGTGGAACCCAACAATCCAAATTCTTCTGCATCCCAGCTAGCAAAAATAATAGTTCGCTTTGGTCTCCAACCTGTAAACACATAGTTAAACTTGAAAATTAAACTTAAATTTAGGAAGTCACTTTTAAAATGAAGTCATTTTAAAAATAGCACTTAACTGATATAACAGTAGAAAGATTTTCCTCTAAATTCTTTAACTGAAAGTATTTCTGTAGAGGCATTTCCTGTTAATGCAACATTTTCATTCCATACAACTAAAAGGATAATATCACACTGATGAGATACATGAGAGAATAACTTCAACCAAGGTCCTGTGCTGGTTATGCATTTCTTCACTGAATTTGCATAGTTCATAATGAGAAATACAACTTTCTATAGAGGTGAAAAGTTAAATTAACAGAGCTACTTAGGGAAATGCTCAACACAGTCCCTCCAAGCTGCTGTTCTCCATACCCATCCTTTAAACTGTTAAAATAAGTTACCTTCCATCTTCATTTTACCGAAACTCCGAACAATCTCCTGAAGAACAGCAACCCCAGTAGTTGGGTCAATCCCACCAAATACCCAGGAATCTCTGTGACCTCCTAAAATAATATACCTGTCTGAAAAAATCATGCAATATAAATCTTTAATTCAAAGTAACACATGTTTCCTTAGATTCCATTCCTACTTGTGTCAAAAGGAAAACAAGGTTAATGCCAGCCTTAAGGATTTATTTTTAAGATAATTTGCAACCATTCTATTACTTTAATGAAATGTAAAGATCAAGACAAGAAACATTTTATACATATTTTTCCAGTTAAAATTTTCTCCTACGTGACTTGCTACTCAGAATCATCATGATGTTGAAGTCTCAAATTATCACTAGATTTCAGTATTTTGCATTGTGTTAAGCTTTGCAAGGGCAAAATGTATGAATCATGTAAAGGGAATCCTATAGTGGAATATCAGGGGTTACAGAAAACTGACAGCTGTCATTCTAACATTTCCATTCAAATATATTTTTAAGAATGTCAACACTAATAGGAGGGAAGGACAAGATAGTAAGGACTTCTCAGATACCACTGCTATTTGATTATCTCACAAACTTGTAGTTTCTTGCAACATGAAAACAATTCACTAAATGCAAAATACAGAAGAAATTAAAATTCTCAGGCGTCTGCTGCTCACCTGGTTCCATAGCTCCTTTGAGGATGCCAATGACATTGTAAATTCGTGTGATTTGATTATTTGTTTGAACATGCATTCTAACTTTCCTGAAATGAAAAGCAGTGTGGAGTAACCATCTCTGACAACAAATCTCAATGAAAGAGTTTGTAATCCAGCAAGTTGGTGTTCCTGCTCTGCTTTGTGTGCTCTACCCTGATTTAACCCCTGACATTTTAACAGTATCCCAATTCTTGTTTCAGATTAAACTATTCATATAAAGATACTTCAATAACTAATCTATAAAATCTCAATAATTTAAATTATTTACTGATTTTGTATTTATAGGATCCAATACTTGCAAATCAGAGGAGGAAACTAGCAGGCATAAACAGTAATTAAAAATAGATTTAAATGTGACCAAATTTGATAATAGTGTAGAAACATATTTTTATAAAGCATACACTGTGGGTTTACAGCACAATTAAGTGTAACAAGACAGTAGTTGGAGAGAGATGGTCATTATAATTATTCATCCATGAATAAACTCAAAACTCAAAACTCTCCTTAGGAGAGCAGATCAAAGTGATCACACTCTCTCAAGCAAACAAACAAAAAATGGTATAAAAAGGAGATTTACTTGAAAATAATGGAGTATTCAAACTTTCTTTAATCTGTAGAATTTGTAGAAAAAAATAAATAATTATGCTTTTAATTGTTTCTGGCAAAATCTCAAGAGTTTCACATTTCAAGTCATCCTTTCAGCAAAGAATCTATATAGCTGTCAAAATCAAAGCCTTCTTCAGGACAGCTACTGGATCTTTGCCCAGAAAATAAGTGACACCAGCGCCTCGAGCTTGCAAATGCAAATGTGCACAAGTGACTCTTTACCTAGACTCAAAAGGATGGTTCCGATATGGAGCTGCTCGAATAAGAGAAGTATATGTAGGATCAGTCTATAATATTTACAAAACTGTGTCACTATCAACTGGGAAGATGTCAAAAAGTGCATTCTAAAATACTTTCCATGCACATATTCTTTCGATGGATCATAGTGTTTCCTTTCTCAGGAAGGAGAAAGTTTGCTTAGTTTGATTGCTCTTCAAGATGTTCAAAATACTGGTTTAATTATGTAAAATGTACTCTTTTGTTTGTTTTCACACTTTATTCATTTTCAGTTGCTGTTAAAAATACAGCAAGCAAGAATAATGATAAATGAGGTTTTCATGTAATTATGTATTCAGATTCATTCTTTTTTTTTGCATGAGGTGGAGCAGTGATAATGGTACATCATTGTTACCAATGACCCATTGTTACATTCCTCATGGAATAATATTTCATTTCAAGTAAATATTTTTATATTATGTATTCCTATAGGAAGCAATTTATAGCTTTATCTAACACAGCTTATAAATGAGAAGGAATTGTTGGGAAGCTCCCTCACAATGAGTCAGGTCCCTGAGAGCCTATAATAATTGCTACATGGTTCAGTCTGTTAGTGCTGGGGAGCTGGCCAGTTTTATTTCTCCAATAGATCTGAGAAAATGTAAACATCAATCATGTTATTGTTAATCCAATTGGTCAAAGTCCAGTTATTCCCAAACAAATCAACAAGATGTTTTGTGTCCTTCGGCTGTGTTAGCATTCAGGACTTTAAGCCATGGGGCGTACCAAGTTTTGGGAGCAGCTGATGGACTCCTAAATCTTTTCACACACTTCTCAGATCTAAGTTCACACAAATCCTGGGAGACTTCCAGTGGTCAAGGGAAAAATATAGGGGAAAAACTACTGAATAGTCACTGCTTCCCCCTTCAACACAACAAACTACAACAGTTTGTTCTGTTGTTGCCTCAGTCACCAGAAACAGGAAGGAAAGGACAAGTGAGGAAGGGGTTTAGGTTCACTGAACAGGAACAGAAAATGTCCGCTTTCTGCCCTCTAGCTATTTTTAAAAGCATCACTGAAACACTGTCTGAATCGTAAAGTAAGGATTGAGGAGAAAAGAACAGAGCTTGATCTAAACTCCCTGAGCACAGACCTTGTAGAAAAGCTGTGTGCAAATCCTGGCCCTAGATTATAAGGCACATTGAGACTTCCCTTCCAGCTGCTGTCTGGAGCCGCGGGTCCTCCCATTGCACTGTTGAGTGAAAATGGAGACAAATAGGATTGACCAATAGGCTAAAACCAGAAATTCCTTTAATTGTCACTATACCTAAGACAATGCGGGCATACATTTTTTAAGACATACAGCATGCCAGTAACTCATTGCTTTGAAATCAGCATAAGCTTAAACATAAGCTTAAACAATTATGCACAGTTTATTAAAGTGGAAAGGCCTGTAAACCAACGTAAGTGTTTAGCATTTTGAGTGTCATGGGTTTGATAGTGAGTTAAAGTGGAGAGGTAATAAAAAGGATTTTTATTTTTCTACTTTCTCACTGCAATTCAGTAGATACTAAATTGTTCTTTAAAAACAGAATGTAGATAAACTTGTTTTTCCATAGAAGGCCCGCAGGCACTTGCTATTTATTCATGTTTTGGAAGCACACACTACTACAAAAGAGCAGTAAGTGCAATAACAGCATAGATTTTACATGCTTAGTGTAAAAGGGTTTTGCCACATATTTGTGAATACTAAATGCAGTTAAAGAGGACTGATGGACACTCACCGTAATAATACTTCTGCATCATGATATCCAATGGGATGAACTGGGATCTTGGGAATCCCTACTCCTTCTTTAACTTTATACCGGAAAGTGTACTCTGAGAAAACAGAACAAAATGTCAATTTTAGTGTTCTTATTAACTTCCACCAAACTGGATTTACTTCTGGACAGTGCCACCACACAGTAGCCTCAAACACACATCTCTTTTTTACTTCTTAAATCACTTCTTTAACACTGCTTCTATGAAAACAAAATGTTTCAACTCTTTCTATTTGGAATTTAGGATCAGCAAGGAAATATTCCTCTTGGCAAAGCTATTACTCCTCTTTGATATTAGACTATAATTTAGTTTAAACTGATCCTCCTGAGAAACACAGAAATTTAAGACGAACTATAAATATTGAATCATTTTGTACTATGTTGCACTACCAATCCATGTGCTGTTTTCCAATGAGCTAAAAGGCTGGGACTATACAAAGGCATCATATGGAATTCACTGAAACTTACTTTATCAGAGAATCTCAAAGAAACCAGTTGAAATGACATGCAAATAGAACTTGATCTGCAGCAGGAAAATGAACTACTGACAAAAATCATTGTAAGCAGCTTTTATCTTACATTGTACTGGAAAAAAAGTATTCTACTGACATAATAACTTTCAGTCACAGTTTAGGAAGTACATGATGACCCAGGGTACCGATCTGTCACTCACCTTTTGCAGGATAACCTGGTGTTAGAGGGTCCCCCGCTCCATTCAAGTTTAATACATTCCCACGCTGGGCTCCTCCACCTGGCAGATTCCAGCCAGCTGGATAAGCATCTACTCCTGGGGCGCAGTAGTCGGCAGGGTCTGAATAAAGTATGATTCCTTGGGCTCCTGCTAATATGGCATTTTTAACCTGCAAAATTATTATTTTTTTTTAAGAAATGTCAAATGATCTTTTTTTTTAATGCAGTCATAAATGTGAATGTTGCAACATGCTTCCAGGTCTGAAAATCACCTTTGTGGAAGAGTAATGATCATGAACTGAGCAGAAGACCACAGCACAGTGAAACACGGTATGCGCGTTACTTGTATCACACCGTTTTCATAGCTCGGGAGAGATAAAGCACAAGGCATAAAACAGAGGCACAAGAACCAACTGTTAGCTCTGTTATCACACTATTGCCAGCTCTGCTGAAATCTTTGTCTAAAGTCAGACAAGTAGTTATTTAAACTCAGTGCTTCAGATTCAAACGTTTACATCTTCAAAATACTGCAGCCCTGTGGAGGAAAAGTAGTAACAGACCTGGTTGTAAAGTCTATTCATTTCCCCAAACTAATCTTTCACAAGAAGTGCCTAAGGAGTTTGCAATCATCTCATTCTCAGGAGTTTCGTGCATTCATCTGGTTTTATTGTTTTGGAAGTTATTCTTAGCACATGGTCACACTGGATGGATTGCAGGCTTCCTTCTGCTCAGTGTTCCAGCTTCCAGTCCTCATTAACTCCTGCTGGCTCTGCTGTGAGCAGTGTCAGAAACAGAGACACACGGAGGGAGAAATAAAATACAATTCTTACTTTGTTTCCTCTGAAGATCTTCCCATATCTGGCAATGACAATCTTTCCTGTGCAATTAATTCCCATTTCACGCTCCAGCTTAAAAAAATCTTCAGTGCGGCCATAGTTCACATATACCAGATCTGCCTGAAAAGGAAAAAAAAGGCAGTTTCATGAAAACTAGTCATTCTTTAAAGGAAATGCCTGTTTTCACAAATACACAATTTCATTTATTACATATAATAGGGTTAGTTTTTGCATTTCTGCAGACAAGACCAGGTTCTGAAAAATAATACCAAAAAAAAATTCCATAATGTTCTTTGGGAAATCTTGGTTCAAACTTTAAGTCTTCCTATATTTTCCTGCACTTAGCGAAGCCCTGTTCATTGAGGCTGAAAACTAAAACAGTGTAACAGAGGAAGCAACATCCAAGTATGAGTAAGAACTTATTGACTGTGAGGGTGACATGGTACTGGAACAGGCTGCCCAGAGAGGCTGTGGAATCTCCTTCTCTGGAGATCTTCCAAACCCACCTGGATGCCACCCTGTGCCCCATGCTCTGGGTGTCCCTGCAGGAGCAGGGCAAGTTGAACTAGATGATCTCTAGAAGTCCCTTCCAACCTCAACCATTCTGTAATTCTGTGTTTTTCCAGACTCAAAAAAAATATATATATGTAAGGAACACCATTATTCCCCTATTACATAATTTTAACCATCTTGGCAATGCAATGCTGCCCCTGATTGATTCCTCTAAGATAAATTTTGTAGTCTTTCAATACATAAGTATAGTTCAAAATATCTTCCTAACTGATTTATATGTTGCAATTTCTCCTCAAGACTTATGTTGTACCTCTCAATGTGAGTAACAGGGAGTAACCTGAGATGTATCCAATACTTTCCATAAAGATAAGTCTTTAAATCATGTGATTCAGATTTCTAGCATTTTGCGAAAGCCTGTTTTAATAGGAGGCTTCAGAACTTCACAGTGTGTGGAGTAGTTGTCCTTTTGTTCTAATTGTTAATTAACCATTTTACTAATGGATAATTAAGACTACTACAAGAAATATTTTGAGAAGTCAGAGGCCCATCAAGCACTTCCCAAAATATGACTTCAGCTAATAATACCCTTGATTTTTTTTTTTCTTACCTCTGGTACTCCTTGTGCTGAGAAAGCATTATATGGTGGCAGAATACCTGTAATATTTTCATATCCCTGCGGAGGCGGTTCAAAAAACGATGTATTGAAAATCTATCAATTAAAAATGAAAGTGTTAAGTCAGCACCTCTAGGCACAGGTTTGCACAGTAAGTCTGACTATTGCAAATAACATGCTGGTTTACATAATTCGCTAGCAAAAATATAAATAAATTAAGCATGCATAAATTAAAACAAAAACTAGTTAGAGATACATAGCTTATTTTTTTTAACATGATGCATATAGGAATACAGAGAGATAGGTCATTGGTCACCAGAGGCTTATGAATAAATGACTGAACGTGAGCAAAGAAGTAGCTGACAGATGCCAAGAACTAGTGATGGTAAAAAGACATCTACTTCACCACAGGCATTTTAGGGGGTTAATCCTACCTATGTCATTACTTATCTCTTTACTTCATTGGTAGATACTCTTTAGCAGATACTTTCCAGGTAAATGTGCTGCCTTTCATCACTATCCATAACAGTCATGTTGTTTCAAGATTTACCTCTACGCTTTGTCACCCTGTGAGATCTATCCGAGAGACTGTTAGGAGAAGAAGTTTCTATAAGAATCTCCTAATTCCCTCTAAATTTACGTTACCCCTATGCCCATATTTCCCAGTTTATACTCAGTTCCTACCTACCCACTACCCTGTTCTTCTGTCAGCCCTGACGCCCTTCCTTACTCAGGTTCCTTGGTAGATTTTACTTCTAGGTCCTTATTTTTCTGTGTATACAAAATGGAGACAGTCATTGCAGACTGATTGATATGGATTGACACTGGAAGAATACATGTCTTGCATATGTTTCCTTGTTCTTAAAGTTTCCTGCACATTCATTTAAGGCTATTGATGGAAACAGGACACTATATCCTTAATCTGAATCAGGACGGCCATTCTTACATGTTAATCTGAACCAGTATGGCCTTTCTTACATGTTACAGCTAACTGATTTCAAGTCCCTGTCCCTGTGTGTCCAAAACATCCTCTCTAAATCTCAGTTTCTGAGGGACTGAAATTTCAGTCACTTTTTGTTCTGTTCTGCTGAACATCTTGGAAAACTATTTCTTAATTTGAGTCCCCTTTGCACTAGATTTTTCAATGGATTATATTATGCTGGGACATGGAGGTGGGAAGGCAGAAGAAGTCACTGTTACTTTAAAGACATCTTACATAAATGTAGTTTAATCATTAAAAATATCACCTCATTCCCTTGATCATCAATTATTGAGATGTAGTTTGGCTGCATTTCATTTGGGTAGGAAAGAAGGACATCATAATGAACTAGTTCTGTTGAATCCAGTCCAAACTCCTTCCACTGGCCTTGAATTTGTTTGGCAAGAAAAAGATTCTGCTCTGTTCCCGCGAGGTGAGGAAGCTTTGTAAAGGAACTGGAATAAAACAGAAAGTCACTAGTAAGCAATAAGCTCAGAGAAACTGAATGGCCAAGTTGGATCACTGTGTCTAAAGCTTATCTTTAAGGCACGTGCACAGATATTAAGTTGTTAGGGTTACAAAGTCTGAGCTGTATAACAAGGTTGTTTATCAGGGAGAGTCAGGATAAGCACAAAGGGTAGTCAGAGCAGAGGATTTTTCCTGAGGCCCTAAGATAAGTCAGACCAGCTTTTCTCTTTGTGTAACAGAATTAGCCACATCTATATACAAGCAACAAAAATCAGTGTCAAGAACATTTAACAGAAGAATGTGAATAGTACACAAGGAGCACAAAAGATACAGAAAAGCTACATATTGAGAAAGGAACTCTCCAAATTCTGATATCATGATGATGGATTTGTATATTGTTGGCATAAAACATATTTAATAAGTTTAACTTGAAAATCATTATGTCAAGTGATCTGAATATCTTTATTCCTATTTTTTTTAATCAAAAGCCTGAATAATATAAGCCGTATTAACAAATTTACCTCCAGATGCAATACCTAACTGTTAAGAGGTCAGAAACAACTCCTAGCACCTCTAGGCAACCCTACACAAATCTGTCTACAGTTTGGCTCAGTGAAAAACTGACTCATAATGAGTGATGGGTATCATGTACCACCTTTTGGATTCCCAATGGACCACTTGCTACTGGCTGCCATCTCCATGTCAGGCACCATTAACTATCACTAGTAAATAGCATTAATTACCATTGATTAGGATCAGCTGAACCTGGCAGTTCAGACATTTTTCAACTCATCCAGCAGCTTGTTCTTCTACCACTCAGTTTCTCAGCTTCCACATGGGAATGCTGTGGGAGACAATGTTCAAAACCTTGTTGAAGTCAAGCTCGTTACATCTACCATAATGTCTCCACTCATCCACACAGCCAGTCATTTCCTTGTGGAAGGCAATCACCCTGATCAGTGTGGTCAAACAAATAAGTGGTAAATAAAAGTGGTAAATGATTCCTTCTTGTTCTTTGTGTGTTTGGAAACTTTTTGAGGACTGAGTGGAAACCAATCAGTGCACAATCCCATACATTCTTCTTTCCCTTCTTAAAGATGATCACAACACTAGTCAATCACGACGAAAGACCTTGCCCAATCACCACAGATTCCCATATACGCTCCTTTCAGACAAAAGCCACCTGGCCCCTGGTTTATAATACATCTAGACTCACTAGATTGACCTTAACCTTCTGCTTCCTGCTGTTGACTGTCCCTCTCCTTCTTGAACTGTGCTGGAAGACACAGATGGCTGGAAGCAACTTTTGCCACATCAAAACAGTATTGAGTACCTAGATTTCCTGTACATAGACTTTTTATTAGTAGCCTATCTTCCCAGTTCAACACAGCAAATTCATATTTCCTCTGCACTTCCTTTGACAGTACCATACTGGTAGTATCTATCCCCACAACCCTTTCAATCTCTCATGGGTTTTAGTTTCAACTTAGGGCCATCCTGATTTACTGCCAAGCACCCCCACAGGACTTTTACATTCCTCCTTTGCTGCCTGTCCTCCTCTTGCATTTTAAGTACACTATAATTCCTTAAGTACTGTAGTTTAAATGTTGCAGATATGCTAGCAGAAAAATATACATAAGTGAAGATTTCTGAACTAGCAACTTGTGGAACAATCTATCATCTCTATTCCCACCATGTGCAAAAGACAACAGAGGTGAAGAATGAACTGTAAAGAAAGTAAGGTACAGGCAGGACTGATCTAAGGTGGACACTTCTGTAAATTAATTAAGAGATAAGATAAGGGGCTATAGGCCTCAGGAAGAAGCCTCCTACCTATAGAAAATTTCTAAATTAAAAATACAGTAATATGAAGTCATGGATTTTACACTAAAAAAGCCCACTAAAAATGTCAGTGATGTTCCAGTCACTACACTGGGGAGCACTACAAACTCTGATTTTCAAAATTTAGAGTAAAAATTATCACAGTGGGTATGGATATAGAAACAATCAGCAAATTCACCCAAAACAAAGTGCGCTCTGGCGTGTAGTAACAGCCAATAAACAAACTCAGTTGATGCATTTTAGATTTCCAATCCCAAACTAATTGAATGTTACTGAACTGAAAGAGTACATCAAGTTTTACTTCTGTCTTTCACCTCCAAATAGTTTCAGCTTTTGCAGAGCTATGGTTAATGCTAAGGTCAAGCTCTCTGCATTTTCTGATACTTAACATTTGTTTTCTCCACTTATTAACTGTATCCAGTGGTTTATAAAATCAAGAATATGGGTCAAAATTATGCAGTTTGTAATTTTTCATGCCTTAAAAAAGGCTGTGGATAGTGGATAACATAGTTTTTATGCAGCCCCTGCTTTTTATTTGAACTTGGAAAATGAACAAGTAGGAAGTATTTGGCCCATCATCAAAGCAAGCAAACAAATCAGATAAGATTAATACCTTAGAGCCAAGAAACTGCAGCATAATCACAGAGCTATTTTGTGTTGTTCTTAGCGTGCATTACATAGACTCTGACTCAAACATAAACTTTAGGAAATCTCCCACTGAGACCAAGAAATGCAAAATAAGATAATACAGATACACTTAAAGAGCTAATTGGTGCCGGGAATGAAAGCTTTTGGTTTTAGAATGAATGTACAGAAATCTAATTTGTCAGTAATCCTTTGATGTTTATGATGCAGCTGAAGTCTTGCATGCTGGATACCAACATGTTATTAACCAGAAGTAATTTTTGTTGACTTTTTGTTTGTATATATTTGTTTCTCTGGACAAGACGTAAACATGCACAAGAGGAATTGTTTTCATTTTCAATAAAACACATAGCAAAAGCAAGAAAGTATTTTTATGTCCTTAGCGTTTTAGATATTTTGAAAGAATCATTCAGAAGCACTATAACAGAAACAAGTGTATTTCATAACAATTTACAACGTGAGGCTTAACCAAATCCATGTGCACACTGTATTTGGATAGGAACCTGTGGCTTCTGAAAGGGAAAACAGGATATCAAGGAGTCTCAAGCACCCACTTCCCAAGACATTATCCAGTCTGGCTGCACTCAAGGAATTACCACTTGTAACGACACACACAGCTCAGTGACATGCAAACTTTGTACTTCTGCAAACTGCACTCAAAGACTCCTGAAGACAGACTTCTTCAAATCAAGACTATGGAAATTCTTCATAATAAAAAAGGCACGAAGCACTGGCAGCAAGCCATGAATAATATTCTAAAGGATTTTACTATTAGAAATAAACATAACTAAACTAACTTGCAAACAGAGAAGAGTTTTACCTATGGAAGCTTTTTAATTCTTTCTTTATAATTAAATACTTTATGTGTATATCACAAAATAGGAAAAATGGAGATGGTTATAGAAATGTATGAGTTTTTTTATATTATCTAGGTCTCACATTTTCTCCATATAGCTTGAAGGAAGTATTAGTTAACAACACAACTAATCTTAAAAGTTAACATCAAGAATGCAAAGAAGGAAGGGGAGTCCCTCCCCTTTCCTTTCCCCTAACATCCTGTACAAAATAAGTAATTTCAAAGAAGTGCCCTAATGGTTCTGATTTCAAAGACTGTTTTTTGGTCCTGATGCTATGTGACTGATAAAGTAAGTTATTTGAAAAGCAAGGAACATGGGGCTTACCGAAGGAATTGCTTGATGTTTTCTGCTTTCATTTCAGCAATAAGTTTTTGTCTCACATTTTGATAGACACCCTCTGGGTTGGTTGCTTTCTCAGTCGGTTTTGTAAACCATCCTGAAACACATTTGAAAATCACCCTATTTACCAAGAAGCCCAGTCCTCACTCATTTAAACCTGCATGCAACTTAAACTACTGAATAGTCTCATTAAACCCAAGAGGATGAACAGGGCTTAGAGCACCCTCTGTCAAGCACAGAAGTGAAAAATAAATATATTTCATTATCTGAATTGTGTAAAAATGATATTTAAAAAGCATATTGTAAATCTCTAGATTTTATACTCGTTTTTTAAAACAAATTCATCTCTTATTAATCTCTAAAGTACCTCTTACTAGGTGACTTCTTAACTATTCACAGGGAGAGATTTAGACTCCTCATAATCATAATGAAACTCTGACTTAATTTATACATCTATTTAAAAATAGGTGCATGAGTATTCAAATTGAAGGCATTAGATTGAACAGCCATTCAGTAATATGGCTGAATGGCTATTGTAATAGTTGTCAATGTGAGGAATGGGCACGGAGTCTATTTAAAATGTCAAAAGCATAAATAATCTGGATTGCTAGACAATTTTGAAAAGTTAAAGATGTTTCAGATGCTATAAATCTGCAGGGAGAATGATGTTAAATATATTACTTTGGCCTTAAAAATTAATAAACAAATACTTTTGATATTTTACCTAGAAAACCTCCAAATGGAGGATTTGTCACAACAAAGCCAACTACATGCGTTGTCTTATACATAATATATTTAGTCTATTAGATTTAAATGTAATTGTAGCAACACTTTGAACATAGTAAAGTGATATCAATGATATCTGGATCCGATCAAAGGTCCATCTTGCCACTATCCTCTTCTGGGTAGTGGCCAAAAGATGCTGTTCAGGGAAATGTGTAAGAATAGCACAAGCACATAAGGATGTTTCTTGGTCCAAGTCAGTCTTGAGAAATTTGCATTTCAGGAATCTCCTGCATCCAATTAATATTTTTTTTATATTTAATAGTTCTCATGGGTCTTTATTTCATGCTCTAGTCTTAATTGTGTGCTACTATGCAAGTTAAAAATAAAACAGGCAGATGATGAAATACGATTTTAGAGTGACTTAAAATCAAATGCTGCAAGGGTCTGCAGAAGCGGATCTGATGTTCATTTGAAGTACAGCAAATATAATGGTAACTTCAGCAACCCTGCTCTGGGCTGTCAGTCAAAACTCCTCCTCTTCACTCTGACCTTAATTTCTAAGGCAGCAACTGAATAGGAGCATTTAAATAGAGCTGCAGTACAAATCAGGAATTGCAAATGCAAAAAAAAAAAAAAAAAAGAAAGAAAAAAAAATCCTGGAGTTTTCACAGTCATGGAAGTGTCAGATTCTTCCATTAATCTCTCCTCTTTTAATGTCTGATGATGACTATTCACCAGGGCTCATCTTAGGCTGAAGGATGCAATTACTGCATTCCTCTCTCTGCCCCAGATACCCCAATTTCTATAGAGAGAACAATCTCTTAGCAAAGCAGTGGGGGCAGTGAGTATTTTCCAGTGCTCACACTCACAGCAAAGCAGTACAAGCTCCCTGATGGGTCATGTTGCCAGCTATTTGCAGCAGGGCTTGCACGTAAGGATCTGCAGAGGGCAAAGACGTCGGGCTGAGTCCCGGAGGCTCCGCACTCACCTGCAAGGAAGCCCAGCAAGAAACAGCCCAGCAGCCCGGGGCAGCCCAGCCACGTGCAGAGCGTGGCCCTGCTCCCAGCCATGCAGCCCGTGGCTGCCAGCGGCTCTGCAGGCAGTGAGGAGTGCGGGAAAGCGGCCGCCTTCCTCCTCCTCTTCCTCCTCCCACCCTCAGCCCCAGGGCTGCCCCTGGCTCCTGGGATCCTCAGCGCTGGTCCTGCCAAACCAGCTTGGATGTTGATGCTATGGTTCTCCGAGTGCAATAAAAAACTTCCATTTCTTTAGTCTTGCTCCATGAGACAGTTTCTATGTTACTCTGTGTTTATCTCTGCAATAAATATGCCTCTAGATTGCACCAAGCAACATATAAATACTATTTTTAGGAGTTTTTTGTACAAATTATCAGGACCTGCTGCTTTTGAAAGTTCCTGTTTTAAGCTTAATTGCAATCAGCATTTATCCTAGTGGAAGTTGCCAAAAGATGAAATGGAAGGAGCGAAAAAAAAAAATTATTTCTTTACTGAAGAAGCACAAAATTGTTCCTCTTTGCAGTAGTGGTTAGATTAATGCCTGGCAAGTGATGAATACTAGGGCAGCTCAAAACACAGCCTAGATCAACGAGCTTCTAGATTCCACCCATTTTGAAACTAGAAAAAGCTGCAAAAATATTTTCTATTCTCCTGCTTTACATAATGTGGATTACAAGGTTCTCAGGACCTAGTTTTGGGCGTTGAATCCAGCCAAAGCGCTGTCTGACAAGTACCTCGTGAGTAAGGACACAATCATAAACATTTTGTATAAACTTATCTGGCCCTGCACACTGCCACTGATGGTTTTCTGCATTATAACATTGAAGCCAAGTCTGATCTTTCTGGAAAAAAAGGGCCTGCCCATCAGACTAATAACTGGCCAAAGGCAGGAAAGCTTTTCTGGGAGCCTGACCATGCTCTGGTTCTCACCACACACTCCTTAAAGGAGTCCAGGGAAAAAGAGCCTGAGAAAGAAATGACAGTGCTGCAAGTATCAAACATTTCTCAACTACATGAGGTTGAACCAAAAATATTCAGAAACAGCTGAAAAGACTGGTGTATGTCCCAGTCATTTCCCTGGGGCTTTTCAAAAAAGCCAGAGATTAGAAAATCCTCACACCACTTGAGTATTCTGGTCCGGTCACAGACACTATCTTAAGCATGTGGTTGGATGTCTGTGTCCAAACGGTAAACACATCCAGTTTTGTGATCTTGTTTTTCTGTCATTTCCCAACTGCTCATAAGCCATCACAAATTCTGAACAGCAAGGACTTTTCACACCAACATTTCACTTGACATATACAAACCAGATGGAGTTCCACCTACAGAAATTATAAAGAATGAGCATATTGGTGTATTATTAGCACTTATATAGCACCACAGGTGTAGGCTTGGCATATAATAGACAGAAAAATGACAAGAGCTTTTGGAGACTGCTAACTAAATTAGACCTCATATGATGATAATATCAGAGGAGGGAGAGAATAAAAATAACAACAATAAGAAAGTATGAAGTGTATTTATTCCTATGCCTATATCTTTTAAAGAGATAACTGCATCAACAATCCTGAGATTGAACCTAATATTGAGGCTGGACTTGGAATCTCTTGTTTAAGACAGCAATAACGAAAAGACTTCTACTGTTTGTGTCACAGTCCCAATTCCATTAATAATTAGTTGTGGGATGTTTTTACACTCCATGGATTAGCCAAGTTTACACACTTGCAGAGTGTGAGCAGCTATATGGTAAGCTATTCTATTCCAGTAAATGTGAGTATAGCATACAATATAAATCTGTGCCTTGAATCAGCTTGGTATGCTGTGGAGACCAGTATAAGGAATGACATTACTACAGAAGAATTTTTGTGTCCCTCCTGGATCATAATTGTTTTGTATATATATGAAATTATCTGCTGATACACTGCAAGAACATTGCTGATCTGTTTTACTCACTTCCTGGGAAGATGAGAAAAACATTCTCTAAAGCCTAAATCAATTTCATTCATACACAGGAGACAGGAATTTTGCCCTGATAATGGAATGTGCAGATGCTGCTGGCTTCCCCTTTGGAAAGGGGAACAGGGCACAGCAGTTCAGATGCTTCTTAAAGGATGTGTGTGGACAGAGCAGATACCTCCTCCTAACTCTCTTCCCATTCAGCTATTTTTTTTTACTTTATTTACCTTCCTTACTTTCTTCTTGTTGCAGATACTGCAAGCTCTGCAGATACATGCAGCATAAGGAATGCGGTATTGACCCTGCATGTTCAAATATTGCCAGCGTCCTAGGACGTGCCCTCAACAACTCACCATACATGTTACTAAACCACAAAGCCACAGTTGTAATAAATACCTTCAGTATCTTGGAACACCTCAGAATGACAGTAGCCAAAGAAAACGAGCCTGACATGCTGTGGCCTGAAGTACAGCATGCCTGGAATGGAAAGTCTCATCTGTGAGGATGTGGAGGAAGGCACTCTGAAACAAACCCCATCCTACTACTAGCTGTCAATAAACATTTCTGGCCGAGACTAGAGCTTTTAGATGATCAGTATCCTGTAATGTGTCTGTGTACGTGTATGTCTCTTTGAGTCACTTCATGACAAAACCAACAGCAGATCCACTGGCCTCCCACTTCCGCGTAGCTCTTTTCCTGATGGAACCTAGGTGTTATCTGCACAGTACATAAGAAAATTTCTTCCTGTATAATATACAAAAATGTATATTTTTAAAAGTCATGGTTTGTAAATTGCGGACTGCAGTTGGTCAGCTGCTGGGCCTCAGTGGTTAATACCGAAACCACAGGCGTACATTGGAAAACGAAAGGTTACATTTTGATATAAGGGAAAGCCTTTTCACCCTGATGGCAACTTACATGGCTTGTATTGTGACAGCTACAATTTATTTTAATGCAGATGTAGATTCTGTCCATCATACCCATGGGTATGTTTTCATGTCTTTTGATGAATTAGTGCATAGGATGGTCACTGTATGAACTTATTTGGAAAATGTTAACAGTATTAAATGGCAGATATATGAAAGGAAATACGTTCTTCAAAAAAAAAAAAAAAAGTTGTTTTTCATACTTGGGGCTTGAAGCTATACTTTTGTGCCACCCTGATATATCTAATAGAGTAGAGATGCTTAAGAGGTAGCTGCCGCTGAACCTGGCTTCTAGTTGCTAGCCCTTCCTTAGTGGCCTGGCCTTTACGTTGTTCATGTGGCCGGTTCCATTTTTTGAGCTCTAAGAGCTCAAATGGACTGGAAGTGTTTCTCAGTGCAGTTACAAAGTCCCTAAGAACTTATTAACAGACAGAGCTTTCAATACTCAATAATTATTAATTTTGCCATGCCCCTCATTTGTCTGGTAGACGGTAGATGTCTTTACTCACCTGTCAGCTGCCTTGAATTTGTTCATAAAAGCCAAATGGACCTTTGTTTCTCTGCATCATTCCAGAAAAGGAAAGAACATTCCTTTGAGCATATACAACTATTCTTTCATTTTTGCTGGTTGTTTAAAAATTCTGCTGAAGCAAATAGGAAACAGTCAGTTCCCATGCAAATATTTTGTCACATGGTTTGCACAGCTAAATACGAAGCATGTAGCTTCAGTAATTAGCTGCATAAGCTTTGTCATCTATTGTTGGGTAATGACACCAGCCACTTCTGCATGGAAGAGTCTTTATGCAGCTCAAGGCCTGAGTGGCTACCTCTACTCTGCAGAACACCACCAATGAGAAGGGATATAGGGAGAAGCATGTTCTTTCCAGAATTTTCCTAAGAATCCTTGAAGGCTAAAATCATCTGGTCTTTTATTTGAAAGTTCATAATTTGAATCCCACTTTACCAAAACATTATTGTAAACTGCTGTCTTACTATCTGCCTTCTGGGGGGCTTTTCTCTGGATCTATCAATTAGCCCTGATCTTTTTCTATGCAGGGACAAGGAGTCAACAGCAGAGCGCTTCTGCTCTGCCATATTCCCTATAGTGGTTAGGGCACAGCCTTGAACTACGTGTTTAAAACAGATTTCATTTAAGTGGATGTTGTTGTATCTAGTGCTACTAGAGAGGTACCAGAGTTAAGAGTGTAACAAGCTCTATATTACATTAGGTACTGGGTCCTGCCATTGTATATTGTATATTATTGTATATTGTATATTATTGTATATTGTCTACCAGTTGTCAGAAATGTTCCTAAGGAAACTTAAATGAAACACTGCTAAGATTAAACAAGAGATGAAAAATATGTCTTCTGAGATGAGAGAAAAAGTTCTAAGGGAATTTACATGACAAACAGGAAGAGATCTCTGCAATTTTGGACTTTGGTACTTCAATTCTGAATAAATCCTCCCCAGCAATGGAATGCAATGGATGCAATGGAGTGTAATGGATGCATTCTTTATGTATCCAGCTGGTCAGTGAAAGCTGTTCATCACTTCTCTGCAACATGGATGGTGGATTTGTGTTATCATTCCCTGGATTGCAGCAGACAAAATCATCTAGGTTAGTTTAACTGCTGATCTAAACTAACCTGCTTAAATTTGCCGGAGATGTATTATAGACCACTGGAATGAATTGCTCCACTGGCATAATTAGCACCTCCAGCACCGAGGAGTGATAAAACAGGTGGAAACAGCAATGTCTCCCATCCTCACAGCTGTACTTGGGAGAAGATATGTTTCCATGGTCTTACTTTGAACTCTCTTTCATAAAAAATTAAAAATCAGCTGGAGATAACAGTGGGTATAAGGGTATCTCCCATTATCTGGTTAGCTGGATTGACGAATGAGAAGGACTATAATTAAGCAAAATAATGACTTTAATTAAAATCACTTGACTAACAGGGTTTAATTCAAAGAGACGAGAAAAAATAAGAATAAATGAGGTACATTGTCTTGTTAAATATCTACGACAACACTGAAACCCATCATCAGATCAGGAGTCTTCTAAGAAATGGTGGAAGCCTCATTTGAAATGTCAGGTCAAATTACACAAAAGTATTTGCCGTACAAGAACTGAGTAATCCTGCAGTGACAGAGGATCCTGCATCAATTGACCTGATTCTCTCAAAGTCTTCTCTATCTGATCTCAGCTGTCCAATGCAGAGTCGCAAGAGTAAGCTGCAGGCCAAAACCAGAGAGTACAGGAAGATGGCAATAATTTGGTGTCCTCTACTAAGAGCATAATCAATTTTCCTTGCTGCAAATTATCCTCATATTAAAAATGATAGGAGTAGATTTTGGATGAGAAAATAAAAGGAGGTTTTCATCTTGAAAGATATGTTTTGTGAGATTACTTTGTGGCTGACAAAATGTGTTGCCACATCGTTAGTCTGGTGACTAGAAGGCTTCTTGTTTAATTTTATTTGCAAATAGCTGCAATATCCAGCATGTGATGAGAACAACATGACTGACTGAATTCTGGGCTGACAAGCCCAAACTTATGACGGTTACACATGTTTTACACTCTATGTGACAGTCTTCCCATTCTCACGCATGAAATTTCCGTTTTCCTATAAGCAGTGCTATTAAAAAATAATCAAGCTAGCTACATAAAAAGCTCTGAATATACACCCAATGATTAACAATATGTAACATATTAAGCAGGAAGAAAACATAACTTTTTTATTAATGTAGACTCTCACTTCAGAAGTTATGTAAAATTTGAGGATTTCTAATGGAGGATATTACCTTGTTAACACTGTTAAATGCACTCCATTTGGGTATACTATTTGCAAAGAATGCAACTGTCTGAGTTTTGTGTTCTTGTAATAATCTTCCTACTGCTTTAAAATGGTCTGGTTTTGAGACCTCTGCAAACTGTCATATTTAGCCTTTTGCTGATGATGATACTGCTGAAACTTATGCTACTTCTTTCAGTGTCCCTGCTGCTGCCTGCACAGTGAAGGCTGCAATGGAAATCTGCCTCTTCACTTCTTCCCAGGCTCCATGCTGATCTGCTTTGCTTTCGATATCAAACAGGGCATCGTAGATTCCTGGGAATGATTCTCCTGCATACTTATTATGGCTGCTTGGAGCAAAGATGACATTTCTGTAGGGAAAAAAAATATTCTGCATTAGGAAAAGAAAATGTATTTTTTTTTCAAATAAATATAATCTGTCCCTGTATCAGCTGTCAAATTATTGACAATGAAGATGCAAATAAGTAATATTCTAATAGTATCTATAATCTATGAAGCAAGAAAATAAAATGAGCTATGTTATTCCATATGAATTCAAGAATAATAAGCTGTAGCTAAAATGACTAGAGCTAAAGCTGTCTAAAGTATTTGCCTTTGCCTTGCCTTAGATAGAAAGATAAAGAAAAGTCTTTCTCACAGACATGCACACATTCTCTGACAGTTAAAGGCATGCTTTGAGGTAAGAAAGCTGAAACTTTTAACAAAAACTTCTCAAGAACTATGAGAACTATAAGGATTCTAAATCTTAAGAAGTTCACTTGCTAGAAGTACTTGTAGCGGAAAGACTGTTTTGAATTATAGAGAGTGGAAGAAGAAAACAAAAAGCTACACTTGACTTTTTACTACTCTGCCTTTAAAGAAAGATTTATTACCTAAATGGGATAAGAGAGAAGAGTTCACTTCAGTACACTCCTGGCATTACTCCTGAAGTTACTTCACTCTACATCATGTTTTCTAGTATGGCTATTCTGCTATAATTAATCAAATTTAGATGTTCCAATTTGCACCATATTTTTCTTTTAACTCACAATACTTCCTAAAGATCCTTTACCCATGAAATGATTTCATCTGAGTCCAGAGCCAAATTTTTAGATCTGGTTAAGAGCTCATAGAAAATGGATTTACTTATTCTTACAGGCTTCTGACAAGACCCTTGCATTCTGTACAGTATACCTCACTGAATTTTTTCCTAAAATTTCTTTTAAATCGCATTTCTCCTATTCACCTACTTTTACTATGTTGAAGAGAATCATTATGCTTCCATTGACAAACCTGTAAATCATAAAGTGATTTTCCTAAGAGCGAGAAAGCATACAGAGAAACCAAACAACAAAACCAAGTATTCCTTACCTGTAGAATGGCCTGTCAGGTAGTCCAAGAGGATCAATGAAAGCCCGTTCTAGAAACATGAGTTGATCATTTAAAGATCTGAGAGCAAGTAGGCTAAAAAACAATAAAATAAAAAGAAACAAGAGGAATATGTTAACTGCAAAATGATTGCTCCACTTTCATCCTGTGCCAGGGCACTCACAGCTCTGGATTTAGGAAGGAGAATATGTCCAAGATGTTGACCTATTCAAGTTCAGTGGCCACAGAAAACAGCCCATGTCAGCTAACCTGCACTGATCTAGACTGTGAGACAGTCTGATTTATAACCTGAAAGTCTCCTACAACTATTCCTAAAGGACAAGGAATAGCATCAAAGAAAATTTTCTCTCATGCCATAGCTTAATTCTACATCTCCCTTTCATTACTCTGTTTAGGCAGGTCATTATAACAGATTTTTAAAGACCTTATTTTCCACAAAGCCAAATAAAATACCATATCACCTACAATCCCCTCAGTAAAATCATATTTACTTTCATGCAGAACCACATCAGCTGAGGAACCTTGTGGTGTTAGAATCATCCTTTGAGTCATCCAAGAACTGTTTTTTCTGACTGCACAGATCACAAATTCCCTAGAGCACAGATCATCTGTGTCTGTGCGCTTTGGATTACTCTGAGCGTAGCACTGATGCTTAAAAAATATAAAAAAAACTGTTAAGAAGAGTGTATTGAATGTACATATGTCTTGTAGTCTACACCCTAAGTGACTTATTGCAGAGCTTCGAGGCACTCACCAAGAGAGACTGAGGTGAAATTTATATAACTGTAAGTCTAGAGTACTCTATTACTATTAATGAAATTGTTTTAAATTTGCATTTATGTAAATGAAAATAGAATCTAAATGATTGAATTAATGCTTAGATTATGTCATCCACTAATGACATGATTTTGAAATGAACTTTTTCATTTGTTGCTGTGCCATATAACTTAGCATGACATATTTTTGACATGGAATCACTAAGGTTAGCAGTAAAATGATTTCTTCTGTATTTACTTTGAAACCTCATCTATGTCTGCTGACATATTTAAGTGGCTCAGAAAAATAAACAGATTGAGATTTACATGGTAAATCAAATATATAAATTGACAGGAGCAATAAAATCCAAATAAGTAAGGAAGGCTCTGAGAGGGCAGGGAAATTTGAAAATGGCTCATAAAAGAGAAAGTAGAATCCTGGTTATAAAGACAAATTCTCTGCTTATCCAAATGAGCCTTTCTGAAGTATACTATAAACACACATAAATATGAAGCCCATGTACATGTCTATCTATTAGGAAATTGTCAATTCCTTTATCTTAAAACTCACCACCATTAGAAAGATGGCTCTTATTCTCATCTTCCCTATGGACAAGCATACAACATGCATTCTTTCCAAGAACATAACTATAAATACACATATGGCCTAGAGAGACTGAATTAAGAATCGGGTCAAAAAATAATAAGGACTTTTAGCAGAGGTGGCATATAGAATTTCTGTAAAGCTTGTCAAAAAGCCTGGCAAGGCTATAGCCATGGTATAGTTATTCTCTGCATTAACTGGTATCAATATCTTCAAAATTACAGAGTGCTGACAATTGAAAATGCTGAGTTTACATTTTTTTCTTTAATGATATTCCAGTCATAAAACCCTAGGATGTTTTCTGCACTTGTAGGGACTGACACACCTGAGCTAGTTCTGCTCGTGATGACCAACATCTTGTCACATTCATGTACACTCCTGGCATTGCTCCTGTCAAGAACTGACACTCATTAGCTTGGACACTCTTCAAAGCTAACACAGCTAGACTCAGTCTCTGCAGTGTCTCAGATGTCCATGCTCAGATGTTCAACACTCCTGCATTTTGTTTCTTGGTATAGCTAGACATCTAAAGACAGGATTCCATAAGGACTCAAAATGGAATAAATGACTGACAGTCATTTGTCACCAAGACTATTTGTGGAACTAAATGCAAGCAAAGATTATGCTGTGTGAACCTAGAAAACTGCACAGATTACTTGTCTGGAAGACAAAATTGTTCAACTTACTTATTATTATCTATTTGCTGCAGGTTCTCATGAAAGCGAGCACAGACTTCTGTAAAATTTTTCACAGCTGAAAACAGAGCATCTAGAGGAAGCAGGATGGAAGTACCTTCAGATTCTGAAGAAATCACTTAACAAATCAAATTCTTAATATTAACACTACTTCTTTTTCACGCTTTGGTAGTTCTTACTGAATGAAAGAAAGATTATAAGACCCCATATTCCTATGTTAAAAAGTAAATCTATGTGGCCTTGTGTGAAGCAGTGTCTTGGAGAGAACAGAAATTAGTATTTCTGTGAATATTGTTATTTGCTACTTAAAGAAAGCACACTGTCAGAACTGGACTATTCAAGTAGGCACAGGTTTTGCAAAGCACAGCAGGAGCAAGAAAGCAAGCGAATGAGTGAGAGAAAGAGGATGTATATCGGTATAGGTATCTGAAAATGATTATTAGTAGTCAAATAAGACTGAGTTGTACATAATATTGTCAATAGAATATACCACAATAAAGAGGAGGTCTCCCAGGTAAGGGACAGTTTGTGAATCCCTATTATGTGAATAAAATTTCACATGCCAGCACAAGATCCTTACTGCAGCACAGGGGTGAACCATGGCTGCTTGAGCAAACTTTCAGTCGAACATCTCAAGAGGCTTGCAATCACCATCACTGAACTGAAACCATAAACTGAAATAATGAGAAGTTCTAACTGGAACATAAGGAATTGTTTCTTTTTTCTTTTTTTTTTTTCACCCAGAATATAGTCAAGCACTATTGCTCAAAGAGGTTTTGCTGACTCTGTCCTTGAAGGTTTTCAAGATGGCTAAAATTTCCAATTGTTTGGAATATGACTCTTGTTTTATTCACTGTTCATGCAGAACGAGGCACAAGTTCATGACTAAGACTTACACATAAGATAAGGCACTGCTAGCATTAAGAGGACTGTGATGAAAAATTGTACATACCAAAGGATACACTGTATTTTGATAGTTGCTCTTCATGGTTCTTTGACAAATTGTAGATGACATAAGCATAACTGCTCACAGCTGCTGCATAATCTCTGCAGTCGAAGGGAAGGACAACAGAGTTGGCCAGTTCAAACACCAGCCCTCCCCGTACCTGAGCCACTGTCAGATGATTCTTGAAAGTGGGATCATAAAACCTCTCCACGATTTCATAGGTTTCATAGACACTGTGGTAGACTGGATAGCTGCTATATTTTTCTACATTCTGAAACAGAAACAAATGATAACAAACAAAACCATTATTAAGGTCAGCTGTGGACATTTCAGCTTTGTTTGAAAACCTTTGCTGTGAAATTCAAAGCACTGGAAAGTGTTCAATTCACACTAGCCCTCCCTCACCACTTCAGAAAATCAAATAAGAAGAACTGCTCAGTGATGTCTCTCTTAGACATTGACCTTATGATAAGATGAATTTTGCTGTGGAGACATCACTCCAGGTCACACCAGGGCCTAGGTAAATATCTAGGAAAAGACACATAACTGTCAGTTGGCTAAATTTAGGTGAAATTGCCCCTCCTCTCTTTGACTGGCTCTTGACTGCCATTTTTGTCTGTGTCTTTGGATATGTTTTTTCAAAATAAAAGATCTCATTGCATAGATCATCCCTTGAACATTTCTGATTTGGTTTCATCTCACTGTATGCTGCAGAGTCAAACATATCTTCGCCATTAAAAAAAAGAATCACTGCTGAATTCAAAGCTTCATAGCTCTTCTTAAATCATTCATAAGCTATCATAAGCCACTCATAAGCCTTCACTATCCACAGGCAGTTCTGAGAATACCCATTTACTCTAAACAAGGGTCTTTTATCTTCTGTTTTAATCGATACCAAGTTGACTGTTATTCCGATTTATTAAATAATTGTGTTGTAATAGCACTTTACAGCTGGGACTCTGCTCTGGCTCACCAAACAGAACCAAAAATGATACTCCCGTTCCCAAAAGATGGCAATCTCAACTGCTGAATTACAGTTGATATTATTCAGACTGTTACATGGGAAACAAAATTGCAAAGACACAGGCTTACCCAGTTTTTACTGTAACGGGCTCTGCCGGAAGCGATGCCAAGCCGTTGAAAAAAGACCTCGAAGTCATTGCCAGAACCCAGTTTATTTATTCTTTAACAAGAAAGAGGAAAATGCCTTGAATGACAAGGATTTAAATATCATTTTTTGTAAGTTTCCAAGTACCACTGTAAGTTATTTATTCTCTAGTCTCTAGTATCACACAGTCACTCCCCAGCATATTCCCTCTGTCAGTATTCCCCAAATTTCCTATGACCCCTACATGGCACACACTTCCTCCCATCATAGGCTCAGAAACCCGGACTTACTGTAGAAAAATCAGACACTCCAGAAGATAATTTGACCCACTATCTGTAATCATTGGAAAGACCCAAAGACAGCTTCTCGCATATCCTTTATTTCTTTTATCACTGACCTGGGTACCTCTTTATATTCTCTTGATGGGTTTTTTTTATGCCAGCTCTCATATAGAGATTTACCTTCAAAGCCCTCATCAGGACTTGGTATCTAGAAAAAATGCATTGTAAAAAAAGACAATTTTTTAAAATATTACCAAGTGATAAATCTAAACCCTGTCATCACTTCAAGTCTATTGCTTAGAGCAATGACTAAGTTCTAAACTTAAATCCCTCAGTCTTTCCGAATCTCCCCTTAAGCATTTCAAAAACACAGCTTTTTTCAGAGGAATCATTTGCTAAAAATATATAGTTTTAGATGGGGAAAAAAAGAAAAAAAGCACAGGGAAAGCAAAACATTTCAAGTCAATATTCCCTGTATGAAATCTTCTGATTATTCATTATGAGATTTTCAGCCATTTAATGTAAATATTCAAAACATAATAACCTGCAAAAGCAAAGCTATTTGTTTTATTTTGAGACAAAAAAACCCCAGTTCTGTCTTGGGTTACTTCAACAGTGATTCTTCATTTTTTTAGTTCAGGATTTTCATGGATTCAGTAGTTATCTTAGAAAAGTAAAGTGTGGAATATTTGTACAGTGGTCAGCATAGCTGCTGTAGAGAAATAAAACCCACTGCCATCATAATGTTAATTCCTACCACTATTTTCAGACAGTTCTTTAGATTACTGAGCAAAATAAATGCTGCAGGTGTTTTTTTATGTTTTCTTAATTGGCAGAGAGTTGAAGTATTATTATTTTTTATAAGCAATCAAAATAAAAATAATGTATTTGCCTTTTTTGGCCATGAAGCTAACTGTTCATGAAACAGTGTTAATGCATTTTGCCATAGATTAATTCAGGATGGGATCATGAAGGACCTGCTTCCTGATCAGCATTCTTTGCAGACAGTAGCTACCAACAAACCATGGTAATATGCATTTGTCATAGTTTTTGTTTACTGCTCCTTAGCTTTTTTACTGGTATTTAGGTCAACATTTTAACAACGATTCTTTGAGACGCTGCAGACCTGATTTTCTGACAGTTTTGAACACCTGCACTTAGAATGGTTTCCTTGGGAACTGCAGGTGATCAGCACTTCTGCAGTTCAAGGCAGAAATATCTTTAGCTGGTCACCTAATTTTAACAGAAGTAAATTTTATTTATTTTTTTCCAACTGCAAAAAGTGATTATTCAAAATTTTTAAAGTTCATTTACTTTTGTACCAGGCTAACAGCAGCTTTCAAGAAATAACAAATTACCTTGGAAAAAACAGATGGGTGAATATATACAGCAGATGAACAGAGACACAGTAGTCACACAGGACACAGAGTAGCTGAAGATGTATATAGATATTTATATATACAGACATATATATACGACACACACATAAAAGACAAATTAAATGTTCCTGAACAGATGCCTCCAATACAAACTGACAGAAGAAAATGCCAAAATAAAAGATTTATTAGTGGCTGTTCTCTAAGTTTCACTCTTAGGGCAAGGAGCATCTTACATGTAAGAGTGAGGTTCTTTGCTGAGAATTACATGGCTGTTAGCTTAAAAAGAATGAATGCAGTTATAAAAGAAAGTAACATTTCACATGCTATTTTATATACAGAAACCTGTCCAATAGGTGAGCACCAAGCAAAAATCCTGCTGGAAACTGGTTCTCAAAGGCCTGGTTCTGCACCCTTTCAAAGACTTGACTCATTCATACAACATATCAGCAGGTGGCAGTGAAATAGATAAACAGTATTTGATAGAGGTGGCTGACAATTTCAAGCAATATTACCTCTTTGGTCAGGCTGTACACCAGCCTGTACATAAGCGGGGTGCAATCTTTCCCCCAGCCTGTACATAAGCGGGGTGCAATCTACTCTTAGTGTGTAGTTTCCTGGAAGACAAGAAAAACTGTTTTTACTAGAAAGCTAGTTTTACTTATTTGAGACTTTGTGCCACTATTTGTAAGCAAGAAGGGGCTTAGAGCTACATGCCATCTACAAGGAAAAAATTGATTTTTTTGGTGTTCAAGGGTTCTCCTAATTCAATGCAGTTTGGGTTAGGATTCAGTTTGTACTGGTTTAAGATGAACTATAGTTCAGCTTTTGAAGTAACCATTATGCCAATTACTCATATTATGAGAACAGGGGCACTTTGTTCTCTCCCTCCCCACAGCTTCCCAAACAGTGTAGTTAGTGCAACACATTGCTTTCCCTAAGCAACATGAAATATCTTATGATTCTGGGTTATTGTTTCACTGTATGTCTCACAGACATCTGTATATGCCATCACTATTGCTGCAAAATGCATGTCAAGGCTATATACCTTCAATGGAGGAATCTGCATTGATATAAGCCACTCCTCGTGCCTGTAATATTTTGGCATTCTCCTGTAAGAAGAAAAGAGGAAGAAAATGTTGATGAGCTTTTTTTCTACCTCAAAACTACTTTCAGGTTTGCTGGAGTAAACAGCAGCTGTTTCAGAGAGGCATCAGACACCCTCCTGTAGACAGTCACACATACTTGCTATTTAATAATGAAACTCGTGTATGTGTGTGTGTGTGTGTGCGCATATAAGAAATAGAGAAAAAGAGGGAGAGAAAGAGAGAAAAAGACAGAGTGTGTGTGCAAGTGGAACATGCAGATTTTCAGTGATCTGCCCTGTGAAAATTTCTAGTTGAATGCTTACTGTTTTACCTCGGCCCACTCTGTCGATCCTAACAAACCAAACTCCTCTGCATCCCAGCTTGCAAATATCACGGTTCTCCTTGGTCTCCATCCTGCAATAAAAGACCACAAAAATATATTACAAAAATAGAGACTGCAGAGTACATACTGGTAACCAACATTAAAACAAATGTCAGTGTGGAGAGGTTTTTCTTTTATCCTAATCTGTGGAGATAGAGGAACTTTTATGGAACACCAACTCCTTTACTAATACAATCTAACAATGCTTTACTCATTTTTTAATCAACTCAAATCTACTGTAGCATTTGCAATATTGGGACAAACACAGTACTATTTTTCTTCTCTCAGCTTTAGTGGCAATGAAATTTTTGAGAATTCAAAACCATGGACAAATTATAAAAGTATGTGCCTCTGTGTAGATTCTGGAAAGAAAAATTTCTGCTATTTGTATGATTAGTCTGATACCTAATCTAACAGAAATATATTTTGATATGTTTCATTTCTATTACTGCATTTCTTTGACCTGTTTCTCAAATCACAGATTTCAAAACTTGAAGGCATTCTCTGCAACTCTGACCTCATGTTCCAAGTGAAGAGCTATCACTTAAACTTCTGCATTTCACATCTAACTAACTCAGGTGAACTGGAATTGGCTATGTTGTCCTGTGTCTCCATCTTTGCTCCATTTTCTTTGAGGCTATTGGTGCCTTTTCATCTTTTGCTCCCTTGATTCCTTTCTTTCTTTCTTTTTCCTTTTTTTCCTCACAGATACCGAGTTGTAACTGGAACTGTAATTAATAGGTGCAGGACATTGTGCTATTTCAGAGATCAGTGAGATACACAATTGGATATGATGCATACAATAGTTATATACTTATTAGTGATACCTATAGCAAATACCTAATTTAATAATTTTCATTTCAAAGCCTTGAATTTGCAAAACATATAAGCATGCCTTTAAATATAGGCTCAAATATCAGAAAAATCAGTGGGTACAGCCAAAAGTAGGGGTTTTAGTGTGCTTTATTCTTTCACTACATTACCTTCCTTTTTTAGTTTTCCAAAGCTCCTCACAATCTCATGAACCACAGCGGCCCCACTCTGAGGATCAATTCCACCAAACACCCAAGAATCACGGTGGCCTCCCAGGATGACATATCTGTCTAGAGAAATTAATTATGGAGGTATATTTAAAGAAACAATTTATTTTTAAAAAAGTTTTATTAAAAAAACCTACTATAGCAATGTTAATGGGAAGTAATTTCTAATTGTCTGTGTAGGCGTCAGATAATACACTTAATAGTTTAAAATATACATAATGGAATACCAAAAGACTTTTTAAATCTCCAAAGGATTCTTTCTGCATTTTAAGTTAATGTTCAAGAACTTGTCAAATGAAGTAACTTGATCCCATGAGATTAAAATAGTCTAAATTCCAGTGCCATAATCTTATTTCTATTATTAGAAATATTGCAACTTTCCCTTAAAGACAGAAGCATCTTTCCACATTGTACAATATAAGGCTTCATGATAAAGGTGACCAGCTAATTATATCTGTTCACATCAACCTGCAACACTGAAGTATGCTGGCAGTAGTTCTAGGAATGTAATATACAGTTAAATATAAAAAAAAGGTGTCTAATATACGATGGAAATGTGGTTAATATGATAAAAGACAAACTAGACCTCTGATACTATACGATGGTAACGGTTGTGTTTCAGGCAACAGCCAAGTCATGGATTAAATGATATTATCATCTTGGAGATGTCCTTGGGTCCATTTTTTAGAGTGTAAAAATCTCTTTCATTATGAGAGACTACAAGATAATTAACAAATCAATAATGGTGTAAGTTATATCTTCAGAAGGAAAGAAAATCTTTACAGACTTGTGCTATCCACAACTTCCATCTGTTTTTTGAACTCCTATAGCTCATAACCAATTAGCAGGGAAAAATGTCTGCTCAAAATATTCGTTTACTTGAAGTTACTTGCCTGAAGACAAAAATTTCTGGCTAGGTTATGACTCCTTCTTGAAGCTCAGCATTTACAGTGCAAGTAATCTAAAGCTGAAGTAATCATCTATGAAAACTTGTGCAGTAAATATTTCAACAGAAATGATCATATAGTGCAATATCTCAGAGAAAACTCTCCTCTCTCATTGCCCCCATTGCCCTATTACTAGGTGCAGAAGTCACTGGACACCCACATAACACTGAAAACAAGCAACCTTACCTGGTTCCACTGCGCCTCTGATGGTTCCGATCACATTGTAAATCCTTGTTACTTTGTTGTTACTATGAATGTGTAATTTCACCTTTCTAGTATATTGGAAAGAAAACTCAAAATGAAAACCCACCATTAGTGAATAAAACATCTAGTATTTTTTATAAGTGTATAATATAAATTGTTTGTAATGAAAGAATTTTGGCCAAATTTAGCCTATGTCAAAATGAAGTAAAACTGTAAAAATTTCACTGCAGTTTTTCTGAATTTATATTTGTGTAACTGGGAGCAGAATTTGGTCCCTCAAAGCTATCTATTGCTATTGATGTCAATATGATATCTTGACATTACATTACAGTTAAATCACTTTTTCTGGAAAACCTAACTTCACTACGTTGTTTTTATAAGACAACAATTACGACCAAAAGCTGGACCCACATAAATTAAAAGAAAATTACAGTTCAAGTTCGGATCTCAAAAAATATCCAGTCTTATCAAAGAGTTTGTCAAAGTCTAGAAGCTTTCCAAATGAAACCGTTGCAAGATTTGCTTTAATCTAAAGCAATTTGTACATATTCATCCAATCAGATATAAATCTGCTGAAGCTTTGCACTGAGTTCAGATCAGCACAAGAAACAGCCAGAACCAAAAGGATGACTTGAATAGTCTCAACTGTTCTATCTTTGGTCATATTCTGTTGCTGTAGCTCTATTTCTCTGACCCTTCCCTTCTTTTTAAAGGAAAACTGACCTTGTAGAATAATTTGTTGTGAAACCAGGACCAATGTTATAAGATACATTCAAACTTCCTTTCCAGCTGCTGTCTGGTGGTGGAGGACCTCCCATGTCACTATCAGGAAAAAAATATATAGCTGAGGATTAGTTACAGTACCTTGCAACAGCAAAAAGCACAAGTGAGGAATCAAGACCCAAGTTTTTAGGTCTTATACAAAACAAACCAAAAAGATGGTCTTTGCCTTGGAAAGTTTGTACTATTTGATTCCACAGGAGAATTATCCATGTTTTCAACTACATAAACACAAGTAAATTAAACATATACAAGAATGGTCCTGGGTGACCTTTTCATGAATCTACTCTTATGTTGGGAGTGCTCTCTCAGCAATCAAACTCTTTTTGCATACAAACTGTCTCTTGTAAACAGTCCCTGGAATCTTCAGTTCCTTGAACTGAAACTGCAACTGGTTCAGGAGAGTATTAACTGGCACAGAAAAAAAACATTTTGTTAGTATAGCCAATATGTTTCAGAGTCTGTATATGGTCAGTTTAATCTGCTAGTATAGACACAGATGGTTTGTTTTAAAGACTCCTAAATTGGAAGAAACATGCTGAGTTGGTCCAAGCAATTTTTTCTTGTTCCATTGTCAAAGGTAATTTCTTTTTTTTCTGCTACCCAGCTGGAACTTCAGTAATCCAGTGCACTAGAATCAGCCCATAACTACTCTGAAGGGTTTACTCTTTCGGTATGAACTTGTGAGGCATATAAGGGAAAATACAAAAAGCTGTGCTGCATGTTCTGCTTTAGGCAAAATGTCCTTACTGTAGGCAAAAGCAAATCCTTTACTGCAAATACATACTTCAGTCAAGCTTTGTTTCACAGAAAATTTCAGCACGTCTTCAAGCTCTCTGTTTATTTTTATGTATAAATATGACAGAATAAATAATAAGAAGTTATAGTTTCTGAAAAACTCAAAACTATTTAAACATATTATTATGAGCAATTATCCTCATAACAGGGATAAGTGTAAAGTTTGGAGATATCCATGTCCATAAAAGTTTGGAAGGAAATATCTGTTACAATGTTAGTGAACACAAGACATGAAAAGACACTGAACACATGAGAATTATGCCTTATATGCAAGTAAGTAGCTTCCATTTACTTCTGGGAAAACTTGCACATAAAACCAGGGCAGAATTTCCTTTCCTAGAATGCAAGTCTAAAGCAATGCAAAGCACTGTTATATGTAAATCTGAAACAGCAATTTTATCACCATTCCCTGGAATTATCACACATTTTATCTTTCAGCAGATACACAGACTTTACTTCAATGATAGGCAAATTTATTGCTTGAGTGTACCAGCTGATCTAAGAAATATAAGTGTTAAGATCATTCCCTTGGCAAATAGGAATTACATGTATCCTCCATAAGGGAAGAAACATCTCCATCAACTGAAGAACCAAAGCATGTTCAGCATTAAAGAAGCTGAAAATTCTGAAAGTCAGTAAGTTTTAGACACCTTTCATATTTTAGCCCAAACTTGCAGAAGGACTTTGAGGCACCTCTTGCAGTACTCCACAAACATCAGTGGGATACCTGCATTTTCCTACAGAATTAATGGGGCAAAGCTGGACATCTCCAAAATAGGCTGACAATACGCTGCACATGGATTCAGAAGGATAATTCAGAGGGGATATAATTTAAACATAAACATCTAAACCATGCTGACCAACACAGAAAACTGGCTCACTCTTTTCTTTAAAATATGGTCAAGGAAAAGGAGAAGTTGTTTACTCCTCCTTTTGATTATTCATCAGTGCCTAATCTTTACTTCTGGCATTTTTTACATGGCTTATTGTGTATTTTATATTTAATGATCTGAGGAAGTAGCTGTTCACTGTGTTAGGTTTTGTAATTAAAGGCTAGCTACACAAACATAAATGTCCAGAAAGGATCACAAGGATCACAGGAGCAATGACAGCATAATCAGCAAAAAGCGAACCCTGAATTGGCTGCTCCTAAAACCATCATAGGAGAAGGATTAGCACATTGTCCATGGTGAGAAACCCTCCAAGTTGTGTCAACCAGAGAAACTCTTCCCAGAAAAACTTGCAGATGAAAGGGGTAATTGCTGAATGAAGGGGTACAAGGCAAATTATGATATGCAGAGAACATTTTGGGACTTTGTAACAAACATATGTTTTAAGAGAAGTATGGGGATGTGCCCGACTTACTATGTTTGTTTATACAGAAAATGGTCCAGCCAGTAAAGGGTTAGCTGGTGAGTACATCTGCCTGGCCATGCCCTGTGCCTGATCACCACAGTCTGTCCTATCTTTTTGTGACGGATATGCTCCTTCCCCAGCTCATCCTGACTTCTC